AAAGGTCCCTGCAGATTACAGTACGCCACGGTGCATTGCAGCCTCAACAATGTTGCACAGAGCCAGTAAACCCAGCCCATCCACTTTCTGACCAGGTGCAGCAAAGTCATCAGTCACTATTCAGTCATAAATAAAGCTTGCATTTTCAAATCTACTAGTCAGCAGAATTGGCATTAACCTCGATCCTCCCTTTATATTTTTTTGGTGGACCCTTCCTTGAACTCCTCCCCCCGACAGGAAATCCTGCTGTGTATAGGAAAGCAATGACACACTTTCTGTTCATCAACTTTAAAAGGGGCATCAAGCTACTGGAATCCACCTTAGTCGGTCCCGCAAATTTCTCTGAAAACTTTTTGTGGATTTTGAGGGATCTCGGAAAGTTTGGGTGATATTAAAAGAGAGAAAAACCCCAGAGTTGTGCGTACAACATATTTCAGGATGCCCTTCCGCCCCGGGTCCTGTCTCAACTCCAGCTCCACGATGTTCCGCTTCCGGTTGAAGTTGAAGCTGCCAGTGAACTGCACGATCCCGCCCTGGTACACCCACTGATCCAGGAACAGCGAAAGGTCCTTGCCAGACACAGTGGACAGCGACTTCAAGAACTGATAGGGGAATGAAAGGCACGCAAGGTTTATTCTTAATGTTTCCTTACTGTGAAATCTTAATTAATGGTTTGCTTCAGGGGGAGTGTCAACGTGCCTGAGAGAATCAATCTTCCACTGGGATAAAGTGCATAATGATACTCTTCCAGGGCTGGACTTTATAGACAACTGCAGACACAAGTTGTCGAGTCATGGGACTAGACTAGCTTTGATTATGAGCTGACAACAAACCACAACTTCGTATCCACAGTCTGCTATCATTGTTTCAATCTCGTTGGGATCAACTGCCCTGAGTAAAAGATCGAGCTGCCCACAAAAATGTTGAGGCAGTGCAGCAATAGAGGGTGCTGTTGCAGCTCTCGCAGAGAAGATTAACAACCACGATTAAAATCAACACATGTGCTGACCAGAGACAAAAGACTTTTTGGGGGGGCTTATCTCTAACTGTGCCTTCAAAGATACATTCCCCAGACTAGTTACACTGTTGTTAGATCACATGATTTGAGGCAAGCCTTTGGCCAGCCACATCCAGCTCTAAAATGCTCTGCTGTCCGCAATCATAAACTACGTAGCGGCATTGAGCATCTCTTTAATCGAGAGAAGTCAAAGGTAAATTACACTGAGAGTATGAAGCTAGTTGCTCACCCCACTGGTTGACAGTAGCATGTTCCCCCAGGAGTTGCTGATAAACTTCAGCAAGGCAGCTGACGCAGCCAGTGACAGAAGCTTGTTGAACACCTGGAAATTCAAGGACAGACTTGAATGGGAATTTGTGAGGATCTCAGTTTGCAGCAACAAAGGAAGACCTCAAGCAGTCAAGGATCAAAGGTTGGGTTCGTTAAAGTCTTTCTAGCTTACAGGAATTTTTGTACTAACGTTTCTGTGGCCAAGGAAATGCTGTCTGTGAGTCTCTACTGTGGTTTATTGTGAATATTTAATAATTTAGCAGTAACTCTGAGCAAGCAGCAAGACAAAAATTGAACCACTTCAGCATTTCAAAGAAAGCAGGGTGACTGGAGAACAAAGCACATGAGCATGAGCACGTTCACTGTGTGCGAGTCGGCATGCAGCCGTGCAGATACGGCCGACCTCACACACGCATACTGCTGTTCCTGAATGACCTCTGACGTTCGTCACATTTGGGCATGCGCTTTTGGAAAACTGAACTGGTTCATTGTACCACCACTGCATAATAAAGTACTTGGGTACCAAAAGTTTGCATTTAGCTCAAAATTTGGCCATCGTTTAATGTACATCGCCTTCAAAGCCTGCGAGGCAGGGTCTCTCACCTGTAGCAGCAGATCTTGTCCGATCCTGAGCTCAATCAGCCTCATGACCAGGTGAGCCTTGACCCTCATCATGTCCAGATACCTCCAGGACACTGTGTGAGGGCTACGGATCGGGAAGTACGCCCCGCTCTCCCCCGACTTGGGGGCGGGCTGGGCCGAGGTTTTCTCGGGGTCATCCGAGTCTGCGTTTGGGACGGTCACGGGATCAGGGTGGAGGATCACCCCGCCAATCTCCTGCTCGTACTCACAGAGTGATGTCATCTCCTACAAAACAGATTCAACAAATCTTTGTTTCTCTCTTTGCCAAGGTTACTGCTGGATTAAAAGTAAACGCTTCAAAACAAAATCTCTGTGTCACCAAACAAGGCAAACTGATTATACAGACTTGAACATCACCGCGAACAAACCATTATAAGATTTCATGAAGCTTGCAAGTGAAAAACTATGCCTTGCAAGTCAGCACAAAAGCTGCAAACCAGCCGAAGCAGTATACGTCACGTTGGCTGGAGACCAGATTTTGCTAAGCGAACATATTCTGTGCTAAGTACGTACCAATATTCAGCTGCTCTATAAGATTAGCCCTTGTACTACCAAAGATACCGGGAGGTTAGATCCAAAGAGGTGGGGCACTGACTAGGACATCCTGACCACTTGCCAGAGTAAGTTCTTACCTCAAGAACTAGATGGTCCAGACTGAAACTTTGATAATGGTAACAATACTGACTTACAGCATACACTTATCTGGAACCCCGATCAAGGCACCGGACATCATTATTACCCCTGCTCAGTGGGCCCATAAACAATTCTCAAACCATCTCAGTTCCCTGGGGATTAAACAGCTCCATGCAGCAATTTCAGGTACAAATGGCTCATCAAACATAACCATCTTATCTCTCCCCTCACAGGTACCCATTCACACTCCTGGGTGGACAGAGGTCACTGGGAGTAAAGTGACCTTACCAAGGTTACAACATGTCACCAGCAGCTGGATTCGAACCCCTGACCCTATGTTTGCGAGTTGCAAACCCTAAAGCACAAGGCAACACGTCTCAGTGCCACACGCCTTCAAAAACGGGCTCAGCAGCAGAGTTGTATAAAAACAGGGTAGTGTCATCTTGAGACGTTGGAACCAAAATGGCTGTTCATTATGTGTGCTGTACAGCATGCAGCTAGTGTGTGCTCACTGTCCATGGGCACTGACGCATAATCCACCATTTTGGTTCCAACAATTGAGACTCCCATGTCGCAACTCTCTCTATACACTGCTCTGCACTGCCGCTCACCTTGTGTATGTGGTAGCGGTACTCGTTCACCCCAAACATCCTCTTGAGGAGCAGGCCCGTCAGGTACTTGGAGATGCCCTTGGGCAGCCAGAGGTCTGACCAACTCTGGGAGCCCACGAAGCAGCCAAAGAACTGCTCGGAGAGCGACTGTGCCATGAGGCGGCGCGTCGTGAAGGTCTGGTCGATGATGCGCTGGGAGTGCAGCAGGTTGGTGCTGTGGGCATTGGAAAACGAATGATTAGTTGTAATATACAACAGTGGAAGCCAGAAAGCATCTTGTGGTTCAGAATAATTCTTTTTATTCTGAATGTCACCTTTGGCTATGAACGCAGCAGATTGGTACGTTTGCAGGACAAATTAGGTTGCTTTTTTTAACGAGAATTGGCAGTTGAACTGAAGAGCTCTGTCTCTGAGCTCCAAATATTCCTCTTCCGCTCTGAATGATTCCCTTCAAAAAGGGTGAATTTTAGATGAGCAAAGTTGGCATTCGCTAAGTGTTACTGGTTGCAAAAGGGCTACTTTTAGTTACATAGCAAAGACAATGATTCACTAATATATCTGGGAGACTACAGTCTCGTGATTTCAGTTTGTAGAGCCCTGAGACAGTTCTCATGTACAATAGAGTTAAACCAACTTCCAGTCTTGCTAAGTGTACATCTTGGTTAGAGTACCGTTATGACATTAAAAAAGTATTTGGGAATTCAGATTTAACAACAAAAATAGTCAGTTCTTATATAGTGCATATTACGGAATATCTCTATGCGCATATTATCATTATCCTGCACATTGGGCTCACATCATCTGAACATTCCCGATACCATATCTCAGCTCCATGGGGAGTATACCAGCCCAATGCTGCCATTTTAGTGTAAATGGCAGAGCATAACCATGTCTGGGCTCACAGGTACCCATTTGCTCCTCAGTGGAGAGAGGCAAATAGTAATAAAGTCACTTGCTCAAGATCACAACAAGCTGTCACTAGCTGGATTCGAACCCCTGACCCTATGATCAGAAGCTACAAACCCTAACCACTAGGCCACATGTTTACTTTCAAGCAACAAGCAAAAGACGTTTGGACAAGAACATGATAAAGTTTGGATTGCAAGGGGCTGTCAGATCTTTTCAACCATAGAATGTTAAACTACGTGTACATGTATGGGTGGGCACTCCATTTTGTGAGCAATGTGGTCAGGAGAAGAACTGCTGGATTTACCTGAGGATGGACAGCGTTGCAAAGGATGAGTAGTCCTTGTATGCCTCATCAACAAACACCTGCTTGTAGTTGCTGTAGGGAAATCTGGTACCTAGACACTCCTCAAAGAAATCAAATGCCTGCCAGAAAAAGAACAGGGAGCCATTTTCGTCTCGGGTATAGGAAGAGAGTAACTTATTTGAGAAGTTAAAAACTAACACAATTTTTCCCTTGCCTCTGACAAAAGGCGTGAATTTTATCACATTATTGGAAATTAGAGGTTTAAAAACAACAAAACCATCACTGCCAATGATCAACTCCTCTTAGGTAAAAAAAATGGTATTTCTTAACAAGAAATAGCTTGGAGACGTCCAAAGTCTTGCAAATTATCGATCACCAATTATGAGCAAATTTATAGAAGTTAGTTTTGTTCAGTGTATTTTTACAGAAAATTCTGTCAACCTACCTCATGCAAGAATGCTGTGGAGTGTTCCAGAAGTGGCTTGAGTTGAGGCAAACAGAAGTGGGTGACCTCTGGCATGACGGGGTCAACCAGAATCTCAAAGGGCCTTGAGTATGAGACAGGAAGGGAGAAACATCAATAGCAAAGCCTCGGCTCAAGTCATCTTTCAAAACAGACGGAAAGGAACAGAGAATTGGCTAACTAATCCTGGTGATGAAACTTTGTGGCTGCCAGACTGTTACGTTTGACTGCTTATATTTTGAGAATGTGCTCCTAATTCATAGAGATAGCTTCTACCATAATGGATTTGAAGAACATAAGGCATGGTATTGAGGAAAACTAGGATAGAAAGATTTATTAAATATCAGGTTTGTTCCACCTATTTGGAACAACATATTTAAATTGATTTCAAACACTCTGCAAGAGCATAATACACAGTTATTCACCCTACTGCAGTTAGGGAGCTGAAGTGTGTAGATTAAGCAGAAAGAGGCATAAATTGGTTTTTGTCAATTAAAACTTTTCCTAAGAACATCCCAAACATCCAGTAAAGACCCACCTGTAAGTAAATCGATTCCATAGGTTTGCGTACATAGGCACTTACCCGACAGCTAGTGCAATATTCGGCGCTGACGTAGGCTGATTCAGTACGTAGTGGAAAGTCTTCTTCCGCATGTCTGGCGTGTAGACCGTCTCCATGAGGTCGCCTGACGCCACGGCCGTCATGGACTTGTCCACTGTGAACTCCAACTTCCAGGTGCAGGGCTCCGAGTATGTGTCTACGCAGGGGAACCAGGCGCGGGATGAGTTCTCGTGGCTGTGGGTGAACATATGGGCAGCTCTCTGAAAGGAAGGGTTACCGGCTAATATTTAGAGACAGACCTACAGTCATTTTTTTTTAATCTTTTCAATTTCTTCAACCGTTTTGAATTGTTCTAGGGAAGCCACATTGACCAAGTGGTACATGTAAATATTTTCATCTTTGATCTCTTGCCAAACTTGTTTGAGTGTGACGACAATTTGTCAACTGCTCGCCTATTTTGCCTGGTATCCAGGATGTAGTTTGTGTACATGTACAGGTTACCAAGAAAACTCAGCAAGTGATCTGGGCTATGTTGGGATCTGATGTATCTGGGATATATTGACCAAGGTCAACATATGAAAAGTTTATAGGTCCCTGTCTGATTTTGATGGGTTTTCATGGAAACCAGACTGGCTTTTCCGCCCAACTCTGTAACTGCAGAATTTCTTCATCCTCCCCCCTTTCATCATCAAGGTTCCAAGTAACAATGCTCAGGCACTTTTGAAGATCTTTTGGTTTCACGAAAAGAAAGAATTGAAAGAAAAGAAAGGTGCAGTGATATCCATGACCCTCTCAGATCCTCCAAAATCCTTCAGGAGCTTAGGAGGATTTTGAAGGATTTGAAAAGGTACAGCCAAGTCACTGTAACATGGGCTGGATTCTCCTCCAAAACTGAATTACAAAGAAGGCATCGTTGATTCCTTGCACTGTGGAGTTTCAGGAAGCATGCCGGTAAGACTGTCGGTGAAGTCGGGGTTAATTTGTTGAATTATAGGTTAGCAGGTTGATTATAGGTCTCACCTCAGCCATGGAGCCTTCCATGTCCGGAACAACAAAGTGCAGCCCGCCTTGGGGTCTCTCCAGGGAGAACTCGATGCTCACCCTCAGCATCTTCTCATCTATAGGAAATAGAGGGTTCTTGCACCGTTAGGATCAGACCAATTATGAAAAAACCAAGACCTGGTTCACCAAGAGCTAACTCGTTCTTTGGAAAGTGGTTAGCTTGACAAATTCTGAAAAGAAACACTGAAACAAATGAAATCTGTGGCATTTTGTAAGATATTTAAAAAGTCAGATTTCCATAGCTAAACAATGAAGATACACTTTAACATTTAAAACATATTGGTCCTTACACAATTTTTACAAATTTCCAGCAACCACCAAACCTGGATGCTGACAATAGCATTCAACATCTAAAAATAAAACATAAACCTTGAAATTAAATATGAAATCAAACAAAGAAATGAATCATAGAATTAACTGACTATTAACAAGATGCATTGCGTCCTGGGGTATCTTGATGAGAAGCTCTCCGTTGGCCTGGTCCGGGTCAACAGAGTTCATGGCAGTGTTGTGGCATCCAGAGAAAAAATCTAGGTTACGCCTGTAGAAAAAAAAAGATGGCAAAACAAAAATGCATTTCACCAGGATTCCGAGAGGCTCTGATAAGTTGGCAAGGAAACTGATCAAGACATAAAAATATGCATTCTACATTAAGAAAAAAAAGTTGGAAATGTACTGAAGACTTACTGCTTCGTTTCATTCTGACAGATGGACAGAGAGGGATCACTGTACATGAAGGATGCCTCCCACACCTCATTGATGCAGATTCGGTAGATCCGTAGCGAGTTCCGGTTAAGGTGAACGCCAGGTGATCTTCAAACACTGAGTGAACCTTTGAACTCTGTACTGAACTATGAACTTCGTACAGGTTTGCAAAGTTCTCCAGATGCAAGGCACTTTTAAAACGTTTTCATTGCAGAAAATTTAAAAAAAGGATATTGCACTGCTTGCTGTTGAGAAAGATGCGGTTGACCCCTGACCTGAGGGGGAGAAGATGTAACTCCACATAGCCCTGCAAGGGGTCAAAGATGAAATCGTCAAAATGACAAGAAGCTGATGTTCAAATGATGCACAAGAAACACTCTACAGTCAGGATAATTGAATCTAAGAACAGGTAAGCACTTAAATTATCTGGATATGAATTTCAAATAAGCTTCGAGTGAACAGAATAACTCTAAAGAGAGGAGAAGGCCGTGCGAAATTGCACAAAAATCTAAACAATGTATATACGCCAAACGAAGGTTTATGACGACGTGGGGCTGTTACTCGATCAAGGGGTATAACCAGATCGGAGTATAATGGTATTATATGTCGATCAATGGATTTCCCCGACTGCTCTACTCGGGTTGTGAAAGGGGAAACACTGAACAACTGAGTAAAAATCAAAATATAAAATTGAGTTGTGCCATTTAAACTAGATGGACGCTTATAACTCGGTTTTGCAAACAAAATGAACTTAGTATGTACATGACTTGCAACAATTGCGAAGGTGTCGTTGCCCACACCGACTGTTAATGTCAACTTACAATAATCGATTTCCTCTGAAAGTTGACTCCAGTTATACACAGAATCTGGTGGTTCGTAAACCGAAAACAGAAATGCATCATTAGTTACGAATTCAACTTCAAGGAAATGTCGTTGCTTTGGTAACACAATCTGCCGCCAATTTTAAATCCATGTGGAAAAAAATCAGTGTGAAATCTCAAAGAAGGGGCCTACATCAGTACATGAAATAGGTAGGTAGGCCTAGATTTCAAAAGACTCTCAAGCTAGGCCTAGGCCCCTAGGGCTGCACTAGCAAGTCTGTAGCACTAGCAGCCAAGGGCCTGTTTGTTTCGTACAGACCCCAATCGCGATCAGTGATTTGACATTGGTTCACTGACACCAAAACCAGCCTATGGATACAACAGACCAGCGTTGGGATCTCTAAAGGTCCGAAACGGGCTTCCAGAGCTACGGCTAGGTCTATTATCTGCACGTCTCCACGCATTTCCAATGGAGCGAAGACCTAGACCTAGCTCTAGACAAGAGATTCGGATGCAGCCTCTGATCGAGTTCCAGAACCATGTCATCATCTGATCATCATGCATTTTGTGGAAAAAAAAACAAACGTCCAGGCCCACGGCACAATGAGGCTAAGCGCAGTTAGGCTATGAATGATGCAACATATTGAGAAAATACTCATAATCTAAAAGGACGTGGTGTTTCAAACGCCTTCTCTCCTTTCTTAAAAATCTTGGACATCTTTTTGTGCTTGAAATGATGTCACATTTCAAACATTAACGAACTAATCGTAGACTGTTGGTAACAAATAATATCGTCTGCTTCGACTTGGAGTCTTTTCCCCGCGAACTGTGACCTCGTATAAAACTCTGAAGTAATTGATATTCAGTGCTACAACATTTTCTAAATGTAAAACTAAAAATAATACAAATATAAAAAAAAATTACTTAAATAATTTAGTTTAAGGATAAGTTTGTAAAATGTGGAAAATATTCAGAGAAAAATGTAAGAATTTTAAAGAGTTGTTTAGTAAAGCCTCGTTTTCGCGATTTTCGTAAAGTGCGCCCTCTTTACATGTGGCTTCTGTGCTAGCGCGAACCTTTGGTAAATTCTGGCTGAATTTCTCCTTAAATACGACTAAAATTCTGCAAATTTCCTCGAAAAAGTATATTTTGGATTGATGTTAGTAATGTTAAGAAGTTATTCGTTTGAACTAATTTGAGGTTGTGTGTTTTAATGCGGTAAAAAATCACATACAAACTTGACAAATGAGCCCGTGTCTACTGCCGGCAGTGGCTGGGCGACGGCTTTTTTGCGATGAATGATTCCCAAATTTGGGTCATACAACATGTATTTAGGCCTAGCATCAACAAGTTATTCAAGCATAGGCCCTTGGTCTATGTATGCCAAAAAATGTATATTGATAATATAATTTAGGCTTCTACATGTCATATTCAATAGGCCACATTTATCACATTCATCACATTTATGTAAAATGATATTGGGCCTAGTGTCAACAAGTTATTCACGCATAGGCCCTTGGTCTATGTATGCCAGAAAATGTATATTGATAATATAATTTAGGCTTCTACATGTCATATTCAATAGGCCACATTTATCACATTCATCACATTTATGTAAAATGATATTTGAGTGTGGAAATTTGAGCAGAGTCTGTTCTGCTCATGCAGCCCAACTGGCCGCCATCTCATTTTTGTGTGGAAAGCAGGAAAAAGAAAGATGGTGGCCACCCATAGCCCTACATCGCAAAAGATTTTCGTCTTTCTGTATGAATATGGAAGAAAATTCCCTGCTTTTGTGACAGTGGAACATTATTGATAAAAACCACTTTGAAATCTTTACTTCACCTTTTAGGGCCTAGGGGATATTTTCAAGTTGACACTTAGTTGACGCTACTTCTGATGCTTGTTGACACTAAATAGCACAAGTGGTTTACAGCACTGCAAGTGTCAAGTCTGTGTGATTGCATGCACGTTGTAGAGAGCATTAAACTGTCATGTTTTAGAAAGAGACCCACAGACGGACAGCACTTAATGCCCCTGTGCACAAACCTATGAGACTTGCTTGAAAAAAGTGTTTTCTAAGAAACTGCTTCAGAGTTAAATCTTACATGTACATGTATCTAAATTTCACAATTTATCCCTTTCTGACAGCTGTTATAACATTTTAAGGGAAATCAGTGACCATATATGGAACTCATTCCCACGTTTTGACCAAAATATGCTACACGGTCAATGGGCAATGTTGTAATACCATCTTTACTTCAACTTGTTTTGTGCTGTGAACCATTTTTACCCTTTCAGCTCTTTTTTTCTACAGAAGTTAAGTAAATTTCCGAAGCAAAAATGATGTACATGCAGCCTGTAGGCCTAGCCCTAGGCTACATGTACCTCCCACCCAACTTAATTTCTTTTCTTTTTGTCAAATTGCAGAGAAAAACCGCCAAAATGCAGAACGAAGCCGGTGAATACGTGGATTTGTACATCCCCCGCAAGTGGTAAGCTTTCCAATTGTCACTAGGCTGCTAGGGCTAACTTTGAAAAGCATTCATGAAGCCCATTATTTTGTGAGTGATTTATGAGGTACATGTATCAGCTGCCTGTCTTGTGCAGGATATTCCAGCTTCCGCTTCACAATGTGAAGATGTCTACCCTAAATCTCCAACCTTTCCTTACTCTCTGCAAAACACCGTGTCACTTTTATTTTGTCGCAGACAGTGTGACATATTCATGTCAAATGTTCTGCTGTAGATGGTACAGCACTTGAAGCTGTTTCTAGTGTAAGCACCCGCATGTGATGGAAGCATAGCAATGTTGATTTCCTCATGATGCTCTTTGCAGTCATGTGATCCATCATTCATGTTTGGGTTCTCTTTTTCTTTTCTGTCAGCTCTGCAAGCAACAGGATCGTTGCCGCCAAGGATCATGCCTCGGTCCAGATCAACGTTGGCGAGGTGAGTTGGCCACTCTGCTAGATTTTGCCTGGGTGTTAGTCTTATTTTGTAGGAGCTGTTACCAAAATGTTGTGGTATCAAGAGATTTGTTATTATTATTATTATTTATTTGGCATAACACAAAACAAACAGTAAGAAACAGAAAATGCAATACAGAACAATACAATACACAAGACAAACGATTAACTAATGGCACATGCCAGGAATTGAAAGGGTTTACATGAAAACAGTGACCTAAAGGCCTCCAACTCCACTGCCACTGGCTGTAAAATAATATATATCTGATATAAAACAAAATAAATTTTTATAGCGACCTTTAAAACAAACCAAAAGATTTATACAAATTACAGAAAATAAAATTTGAAATAAAACTAATTCATGTATATTACTACCAGCAACAAATTAAGCAATTACATAATAAACAACAATTAAGAAAAATTACATTACACGTTAAGAATTACACAAAAGTATAAAATACTCAAGGAGTTTCTAACACAAAACACAAGAACAAAAAAAAGGTAAAAACAAGAATCCAAAAGGGAGATAGCAAACAAGATAATCCACGACAAATTAGCAATAAAAATTATGAGTAAAATGTGAAGCACCTAAAAACAAATGGAATAAAAACTTGAAACCACTTATCATTACTTATTGTAATAAAACCATACAATGCCTTCATCATATAAACTAATCAATAAAAAGTTAAGCGAAGACCAATTAGGACGTTTGAGTCGGTTTTCATAATCCGTTTCCAGTCTTCTCTGTCCGAGTATCATCCTGGTAGCTCGACGTTGCACATTTTCAATTCTATCAACAAGCGTTGCAGTGTAAAGATGCCAAACAGGCCGGCCATATTCTAAAATTAGCGGGACTAGGGCCTTAAAGTTGGCCAGATTACATGTAGCATTCTTGCACAGGTCTCCAGCAACACTATTTATGCAACTGTTGGGTTGCTATTAGCCCTAGTAAACAACATACGGCACGTAACTATCCCAGGCCAGCTTATTATTCAAAACGATTCACAAGTATTTATATTCTGTAACAATATCAAGACGAAGATTGTTCAGTGTACACGAGGGAAGACCAGGATCTCTAGACCATGTAATCTGCATTACCTTTGTTATGTTAATATTCAAGCACAATCTATTCTTTAGACACCAACAATGGATTTGATCAAGGTCGTGTTTGCAGAATTTTTTCATCCTCTTAACAGGTTGTTGGCCGATATAATAACATATCATTGGCAAACAATAAACAAGTAGATGAAGTACATGGAGAAAGATCGTTAACCATATGCTACCGGGGAACCCGGTTTCGGGAACCTTTGGTTTGTACGCACAGCCGGGGTGCCCGAAATCAGACAAAAGAGCTGGGCCTTGTAACAAAAGACCGTACTCAAAACAAAAGACCCGAGTAATTTGTTAAAGTGCTAAAAATCAGCATGGTTTAGGCACAAGAACTGTCTCATTTGGCAGGCTGAATTTTGCTACTTTTAAGGTTAAAGCCTATTTGCATTGTGGTTGCTACCTGCTAGATTTGGACTTAACAGCTACACTGCTGGTTAAGTTGGGTTGATTTGTAAACACAAGGTCAGTGGTGGTTCCAGTCTGTGGATTATGCAGACACTGCTGTGTGACACAGTCCACAAGTTGATCTAGGTTCATTGTTGACGCGACATGAGTAAGATGTTGCATGCTCGCCAACCAAGAATCACCCCAATCTACACCCGCAATGATGACACCTTGATGATTAGTCTGCACTAGCTGGATATCATCCACAGTATCCTGAAGTTTGCCCCATTAGTCCACTGCTGAATTAGGTGGTCGATACAGAACGCATAATAGCCACTTGCTGCTTTGAAGGGCAGTTTCTCTAGGAAATCTCTAGGTCAACATGTTCAAGCTTGGGAACACGACGAGGGCAGAGCTTTGATTTCACAGCTACAAGAACACCCCCACCTCTAGGACTGGTATCGTGACCGTCATTACGATCACGCCTATGTGTGACATAGTTTAAGCTTTGAAGAAAAGGTTAAATGGCAACATCATCAATAGTTAACTAAGTTTCAGTGATCCCGAGAATATCTGGTGGTATAGACTCAAGCAATGTGTCTTGTTCTTCACGCTCTGTGCATTAAAAAATCATACGGGATACAGTTTTATATCTACGAGTACCGGGTGTTGTATCTCCGAGGACAGGAGGGAGAGCTAAAACATCGTCGTTGGAACCCTGGACTCCTGACATTGACGTTATATCATCAAAGAATGAGTCTGACAAGGGGAGCAGGTGAAAATGAATGGAGGTTCGACAAAGCCATGGTGTAGGCTTGACAGTTAAACAGCGTGAATGGCATTTGGCGTCACAGCTGTTGCATTCAGTGCTTAGTTGGTTTTTCTTCATGGGTGTTGTGCAAACATCATAAGGGTCCTTCGCAGGACCCGGGTTTGTATGAATATCCCCACAAAGTAGTATCCTCCATAATGGCCGGCATGATTTAGGTGAAATGCAGTCATCGCTTAAGTCAAGCTGAAGGGTGCTGATGGAGAATACCGGCATAATGGGCGCCCCTAAAAGTGCTGTTTATACTGGAGTGCAAGATGTACATCAGGCAATATACAGACAAGACTGACGAGGTCATGTCAAGGCCAAGTGACCGGTTGTGGATACGACGGGTTGCCATGATTGTGAAATGTTATCAGTTCATCTAAACTGCAACTTCACCAATCATCCCAGAGGGGTCCCCAAAGCAGTCCAACAATCAGCGGCAAACAGTTGATGACAGCCATAGTAATGAGGCAGAACAGTCAATAGAGATAGGCCGACATCGGGCCTAGTTATTTACATGTAGGTTCAAATAATCCAAGATGGCCGACTGTTGTTAAAAATGGTCTTCCACCACTGTCATTAATTTTCCAGGGAATACAGTCAGGGATGTTGACATTATTGATTGCTGATGGTTTTTATCTTGGTTTTTCACCACTGTTTGGATATTTCCAGGTGGATCCAACTACTGGTCTTTACAACGGCAGCTTCAAGACCTACGCCGTGTGTGGTCCCATCAGACGAATGGTAGGTGCCTGTCTTTGGGGTGTTTCCATTTTCAACCTGCGTAGCCTGCCAACCTTGAAGTAATCTTTCTTGCTGAATGGCGTTTTCACACTCGATGCCATTCGCTCGTCCACGCTGCCGTTACAGGGCACTGGGAAGAGTAACTCCCCACAGAACTTTGTGAAGGAAATACATCGCAGCTCTGGACGCGCAAAGCACTGTGGGTTACTCACTGTCCTAATCATGACATGTACACTGAGTGTGCACGCTGCATGCATATATGGAAGTGATGACCCATCTCATTGTTCGAATGGACCCCATCCAGTGCGTGCTCGACAACAATCATGTCACGCATCCTGAAATACATGTAGCTGCCTTTCCCAGCACTCACATACAAGACTAGCCAGCATTGAAAGAAACTTTTTCTCCCCCACCCTTCAATTTTGTTTCAGGGTGAATCGGATGACAGCATCAACAGGCTAGCGCTCGCAGACTCTGTCCTGGCCAAGTAAGTCTGTTCGTTGTTTGTCAGTAGTCACCCAGTCGGTGAACCAGTTTCACTTCTGACATTCCTCGGCCCCCGACCCAAGGCAGTGAGGTGCCATAACCCAGTGCCAAGTTACTGTCATTTCCATCAGTCTGTGGCAGATTCTTGGATCTAGAAGTAGCCAGTGTCGTGGGCAAGACCATCACTGTACTAGACACAAGAACAGTCACAAGACAGATCACAAGTGACGGGGTGCACATTAACAGTTCATTTGTGACCTGCTCTGTGAAAATAAGTCACGTCGCCAGAGCCGTTATTCACTTGAAGGCCTTTTAAAGAATCTTGCAGTGTTTAACCCTAACCCCCTAGGCTCCTGCACTGGAAAGCATACTGAACCTCACAAAATCCAACAGGTGCATTTACTTGTTTATGTACTTGTACATGCAGGTCACTGTACCAAACCCGATGAACTCCAACAGAATGAGCCCCTTGGAGTTTGAGTGATACGGTATGGATGGGTCTATGCAGTATAGGATGACTTGCACTGAACAGTACCAAACCTGACAAAATCAAGCATAGCCCAACAATTGGTACAGCACGCCAGACACTGTACACAGTGACCCGTGTGTGTCCCAACTCACACAGAATCCAACACCATCTCCCTGGGCCTTTCATCCCAAGTCTCACAAAATTCAACAAGAAGTTCATCAGATACGGTACCAAACCTGCCAAAACCTCACAAAACCTGCTGTTGGAGTATGGCAGGTTTTGGGCAGTTAGAGTTAAGCAATATGTATCCTCAACATTTTAACATCTACACAGCGTCCATATTCATCTTATCAAACTGCATGAGACATCAAACAAAGAGCTGAGTTTCCTCAATCTAATACAGAGTAAAACTCAAAGTGGCTCCAGTGACTTGTGACTTATTTTCAGAGTGAGTCAGTTTAATAACTTGCCTCAAGGCTGGAGGTCTTGTGATGGTCTTGAGGGGTCTCAGCTACAACACGTGAAGTAAACTGAACTATACATAAAGAGTATCTTTACAAGTATTAGTTCCCTACTCAGGTTGAAATACTTGTCCCCACTTCAAGGAGCATCGACCGAAGTGTTCGATCAGTATCGCACAGCCACCATTCAATTGCGTTCATTCCATTTGTCCCCCCCCCTTTCCCCAGGAACTTCAACCAGCATTAGGTGATCTTGGGGGAAATTCACAGCCGACCAAGATGGCACAGTTGAGGACACTGACTTCGTGCTGACATCAGACCCCTCCAGAAGTCCACAAAGAATCCGTCGACTCATTCGTTCAGACTTTGGCAGTTGCAGAAAATGTGATCAAATCTGCAATGCGTCAGATTCTCATGTACCATATTTCAGCAAATGAACAAGTTTTGTTTATCTGAAAAATGCAATTGCAGACATCTGTCGGTGAATAAATCCCTTCTCAGTTGTGAAATGTACTGTCTGTTTCAGGCGTCCTCTTTCTGTGTAAAACTCTGATATTTTAAGAGCTGACATTTTTAAAACAAAGTCACATGTACAATGTAGGGATACTTTGCATTTAGATCACAAAAACTGCTTTATTACCATGGCAAAGAGCAGAAAAAATGTGGGCAACTTTGGTTTAACTTTCTATTAAAGAAGTGGTTTTGTTTTTATTTTACATCTATGGCATCCAGCAATTCGGTTTCAATAAATACATATACAAGAGTTAATTCGAGTCACACTCTGCCCTGTCGATGGCTATCCGTAACTCACCGGTTGTAGAGAGTATAGCTACAACATATTCCTAAGAATGTCTTCAGTTATTTGCACATCGTTGGCCCTGCTTATTCTGCTGTCAAAAATGTAGAAGAAAAACATGGACAACTTTGCTACAAAAGCGACTAGGGAGGCACGGCAAGGCCTACGGACAAAGCTCAGTCCCGTACTTTGAATCAAGTCTACTGCAGAGCCTTCATAATTTCAGGGATCATGGCAACACGCTCGGATTAAGAATTCGTTCTTAACCAGAAAAAGCAGACCTTAAAAAGGTTTTTTAAAAATCCATGGCAAGACTGTTGACAGCCGTTGCGTAACTGCCAGAAACCACCTTGCACAGCCCAACAAGCACCACTCTACTGACTAGATAGTCGAAACTGGCTTCAAAAGAAAAGAATTCACACACATTACTTAAACTGGTCATCAACCAATTAACATGTCTACGTGGGGTAATGCATAACACTCTTGCAAATTTTGGTGCAAGGTGGCAAAATTATCCCAAAGGAGCATCAAAACTTTATCACCGGTAATTGTTGCTAGAAGTCCAATTCTAATCATCAAGGCATTTCTTGGAGATTTTCAAATCTTATACTATGGACATCTTGGACAAAATCAAACTTAACTATTAAAGCAGTTCAAGTAGAATAAGCAACCTATAACAATGGCCACGAAGAAAATGTACCGTATGCAACATCCCTCAACATTTCCTTTGTAAACAAAAAAGCCATCTTGGACCAAAAGGCGGGTATCTGAGAAATTCAGCCCGTTAGCAATTTTTAAACAAAGTTAACACAGCATTTTGTGGTAAAATAAACCGAATTCGACACTGTCGCATCCAAGGTACATGTACAGAGTAGTTTCATTGTGAAAAAACCTTGACGTGACTGCCTCTTAAACCACCTACCACAGATTCAAAGCATAAATGATTCTCCTCTTAGTACTGTAAACGCTAACCTGCTCCTATCTCCATGTTAAGGCATACCATATAAACTGTCCAACCCTCTGATGCGTCCATCTATGATAAATAATTACACAGGTACATACAAAACCAATTTTATCTATAAATGCCCTCAGCGGTCAAAGCACTTTGGCTATTATGTACATGAGCTTTTCAAGAAATCTTTTAGTACAAATTTTTATAATGCACAATTTACTAGCTGTAGCCATTTTTTGTCTTGAGAAACCCAGCATCATCACTGACATCACACAGAATTGAATACAAACTACTTGTCCCTACAATTTTGTTGAACGCTTTTCAGAGCTACATGTACATGTATAGGTACCGCTCTTGTTAACTTCCTTAGATCAATCCTGAAATTGCATGGTTTTAAAAGTAAAGGGTAAACATACCCAGAACACATTAAACTTTCTTCAATCTGACAGAGAGAAGACCTGGGCCTGATTTTTCAGCTTTACTCACTGAGACACGCACTGTGTAAAGTAAATGTACAGGTACAGCAGAATACTTCACAGCAGACATTTCAAGATACTAGCAAGTGGCTTATTTCACAAGGGGGAAAAACCAGAATGTATTATGTACATAGATACATCCTCCTCTGAAAGATTCTGTGCTTGCATGGTAAGCACACAATTTCTTTGAAGCTGCAATCACTGCTGAGCAAAGTACCAGACTTGACTGTTAACACATGTATTATGTACACTTTGGTTGGTAACCTTTACTGAGCATTGAGTTCCTGTGTGTAGCAGAAGAGCACATGTGTATAAGCAGAGCCACGAAATTGGCCCTATCTGTAAAATGCAAGAGCAAACTGTGCTCTTAAATTTTACTGTATGCCCTTTTTTTTTTTCCAGATTGCTTCACATATCTTTGGCTTTTTTGCAAGCTCCGCAAGTGGGCATGAAACTTGGGCTTTACAAAAAGAGAGGAAACCCCAATCTTGACAAGGCTTTGTACAGTATTTTCCAATTTTCAATGGAAACCAGAAAATCAGCTGATCAAAGAAAGTTGCATGCCTGCACAAGTAGTTTGGAACATTTACTGTACAAATCAAATAAGAACATTATCCAAAGTTTGGTCTCGTAATTAAAACAACAGGACGCACCCCCAGCAAAAAACAAAGTTCGACTGAGCTTTTTTAAGGGTCTCCAAGCGATATCATGAAACGACCCTGCAGGCCAAAAGACGACAAAGCCAAGGTTTGGAACACAGCTGGACTTAAGATTATTTTGTTTTCGGTTTTTGTTTTCTAAAGCATCAACCACAAGGCCAAATTGATCCAAAAATCGCTAACTTCACAATACTAATTACAAGGCAAAAGAGCTTTGGTACAATCAGCAGCAGTAACTGGTAATTTGGAGCAGGCTTTACTTGGGTACTTAGGCCAGAGCTACAGATAGGTGTACTGTCTACGTGTCTTAGTGTATTTCCAACGGAAAGAAGACCTAGACCTATCTCTAAACAACAGATTTGGATGCAGCCTTGGTTAATACACGTACATTAGCAGTCCATTTTGTACATGTGAGTGTACAGTTTGTAAAAGCACGGACATGATGGAATTTGAAAGTGTGACCCCTTGAATAAATTCCCTCTGATTCGATTGAGATGCGCGCATCGGACTTCTCTACAGCTAAGTGAAGCAAGGCAAGGTGTAATTGAATATCCCGAAGCTTCTCCTGTTTTGCACTCTGCCGGTTGCCGACAATCCTTCAGTGAATTTCTCAAGACTTCCAGCCAGTCTGTGAAGCAAAGCACAAACAGCAGTTAAATAAAACACAGACTCATTTTCTCATAGATGGGTGGTGCTCTGACGCAGACTGATTATTGATTCTGTTTACGCAAGCAGAGCAACGAATAAACAATTTGGTACGAGGTACTCATGATCACTACAGCCAGCAGCGAGACGCTGTGTACATAAAACTGAACACGGAAAGTACACCTCACTGAGGCACTATGATAAAGCTCCCCTTTTCAATGTTGCTTGTGCATGAGGGGCCTGTGCGTGTTTATGTTCTTTAAGGTTGAAGAGTTCACATAATGTCAATGAAGAAGTTGAATTGGGCAGGTGAAACGCACATGTACATGTATCTAAAAGTATACAGCGGCTCAGGTGGAGGCCACATTGGGTGACGGTAGAAGCAACTACCGGCAGTCATCATTCAAACGCACCATTTCCTAGGGTGCCGAGGGTTAACTTTCAGAATACACGAAGCGCTGAGTTCCCAGAAAATAGATCTAGGAACTTGGTATGGATGGTTACTACATCCCCGGATGCCCATGTATGCTCCCTTGCAGCACTCTCCAAGCCCAGACTAAACATCATGAATATCGTGTGCAGATGCAATGAGACTACATGTACATGTACATGCCCCCAGGATGAAGTCTACCTGATACCGGCATTCAACCATTCCTCTTTCCCAACAGCAACAAACTTTGTGGTTAATAAAGCATGGCAGCCATTTTCCCGGTCAGTGTTTTTGTTCCATAGGGATACACACGAGTAGACCAATTGTGCATATCCCCCATAACAAAAGCACTGACCAGCAAGATGGCTGTCGTCATAACATCTGCTTAAAACATACTTGTTTCACTGTACACCAAACCCTTTTTTTATTACATTTCCTACACAAACCTAGGCAGTATCTCTACTGTCCCAAATTCTTTTCTTTCTTTTAAAAACAAACAAACTAACTAAAAGACATGACGGAGACAGTCCAGGCTTTTCCCACAATTTTTCTCCTAAAAGTTTCACTGCTCAATTCACAAACACATTACTGCAACTGCTGCAGTTTATAATCAGCACCCAAGCGGGACTTTAAATAGAAATTAAGAATCATTTGAGGGTTTTGAGAGTTGGACCCCTTATTTAAGGAATGACCCACATGGCTTTTGACAAGGCAGTATTTGAAAAGGCCATAGGCTGAATTCCACAAGATTACTAAAAAATTCACAAAGTTATCATGAATTTAAACATGTGACTTTGACTCTGCAACTTACAAATAAATGAGCATTTAGGCCCAAAGAAGTTTATACACCTGTCTTATGCTTTTGTCTCTCTTTCAAATCCAAAGAGCAAGTGCATGTACATACATACTTGCACACAGTTCAGTTTAAAGTCCATATTTTTGCACATCAGTTTAATTGATAAGGTGCTGAATACCAATTCAGTCTGAACACTTTTTTACTATCACAGGGGTATTATTGATTTATTCCCTAAAGCAATGGTACATATCAACAACGGGCAAAGGTGATCTATTTCATACAAATTCAACTGTATGCTATGTGCTCTCAACTTACAACTCACTCAGACAAAAGGATAACAGAACTCCAAATTAGAATATTTGGAAAAATTCCAGGATGTCTTCTCTCACTTGCATGTACATATACATGTCCACCTGTACATGTACTAGTACATTTACATGTGTGCCGTGCACATTGTAATTATTCAGTACAGGTGATGTTAATGAGGTGGATGTATTTACCTGAGAGCAGTGAGTTGATATTCATTGAAACAGCTGGTATCGATTGACTGATGAATAACCACTGAAGAATTCAAAGTATTTACAAATTTGAGAGGTTTTCTGCACATTCATGTATGTCTTTGTTTCTATATCCTGTTTCAGTGGTGGGTTTTTTTTGGGGGGGGTTCTTGTTTTTCTATTTAATTCTTCCCACTTTTTAATGTACATGTATATAACTCAAGTCTACAGGTACTGCACATGTACCTCCGTAGTCATTTATTTTGACAGGAACTTTCCTGTATTCTCTAAAATACATGTATATCCCTCTGCTGACAGCCAATGCAGTTCTTTCGCCATGTAAAGTTCTTAGTTCTTCATATTCTCTTTTATGTAAGGTCTTATTGGATTTTGAAGGATCAGTCTGAAGAATCTGACAGTTAAAGTTTGAAGACACCAAGTGACAAATCAAATGTCAGAAGTATTTGTTTTGTTTAGTTTTTGTTTTTCATTTTTTTAGGGGGAGGGGTGCTTTTGCTTTTGTATATTACAGTACATCTGGAGGAGGGGGTTACTTACTGGTAGATGTTCTAAAGTTGCTTTCTACCGGTATCTTTTTCCATTTTTCAGCTTAACTATCGTTAAGAGCAATTCACTAACTACATTCACACAGTGCACACAACCTCTGATCAGTGACATGTTACAAGTGGTTAGAGTGTTTCATAACTGAACGAGCGAATGCCATGTGTGGTACTGGATTCAATTTACAGTAATCCCAATATCACATGCACATGTACCAGTACTGTATATATGTAATTCAAGGACTCCCACACCTTCTATTCATATGAATGGCATGTGTATGAATCGGCAGGTTTGTGGAAAGGTTTCTACTGTTCCCAAGGGGGGGGAGTGCACCTGTACATAACTATTGTATGCATATCTGTACACGTACATGAATTGTACATGTACATGCATGTAATGAAGCTTCGTGTTGGAAACGACAAACAATTTGTACATTTGCAATGCATGTTTCAAGGCGGATCATCTGGGATAAGGATTAATCAGCTCCGTGGTCACTGGCTAACCCTAACTCTCTAGGGTGTGTGCAAATTATATTAAAATTGGAGCATTCATGAGTGCTAGGCTAATTCTGTTTGTTTTTACATGTATGTACACTTATGTACATGTGTGCAATTCAGGCCTACTCCATGCACTGTATTGAGTAAACTTGTACATACGTGTATACAGTACCAGTCAATCTTGACAAATTTACACATGGACAAATATGCATTTTTCTTTTCATACATTTCGATAGGATTCTAAGAATTGGAATGTACACGTATTGCACAGTGTGAAGCTGGCAGAAACTTTTTTCTGTTGAATACTGTACTTTGAAAACAAAATGACAGAAATAGCCTTATTTGTACAAAAAGTGTGGACGACATCTAAGAATACCAGTGCCAATTTGATTTCTGTCCACAAGCAAATATGATGCACACTTCATAACTGAAGTCATATCAAATAATATTGTATTCTACTGAACACCTGGAGACAAATATTGCAACATGCATGAGTTAGCACAGTACATGTACCGGTGATTTCAACCAGAGACATGGGCATATACATGTATTTGCGTAGACTTGAATTTTTTTATTTCTTATGTGTTGCCATAAAAGGGAGACGATCAGAACAGGTGAATTTCTCTCATGGGGGGGGGGAATAATTATTCACCTTGCGCATTTGTATTCAGTGTTAATGTACATGTACAATGTAATGTAGATGCTTTCGGTAGAAACAGTATCGGGTCAAGCATCATGCCTGAGTGATTGATTCAATTCATTGTTTACTTTCGGTTGGAACTCGTTACTTCCCACCACACACAGCACGCAGAATGCAAGGCATTTCATTTCATCAGTATTATTTTTTTCTGTTGGCTAGGCCCGGTTGGAATTCTTTGGGGCATTGCAAATTCACATACGAGAGCCAACCGCGGCTTTTTGACCAGTGAAAATAAATTACCTCGCTCTGAATTGCTAAGGGCTTTCGAGCTGTAGTGTTGAAAACCCATAGTGTCATTTCCAGAAATATTGCAAGAAGAGAAAGCTTGGAACATTTTCAATACAAATTTGGGAGGTGGGTGGTGGAGGTACCTCCTGCCAATCCAAGCCCACTGGCTCCACCCAGATAATTGCATGCAGGCCTGGCTTATCTCGGTATCTTGTTGGGATCAACAGCTTTTAATTTCGCGCTCAGTCATCCCTTGAATTATAATGAATTGAAACCACAACTGCATGTACAGTACGCTCACCCAGGAAATAAAAAAATATGTACAGTGTGTACATGTGAATACATGTAGCTGCCAGAAGGCAATTTCAAAGTTTATCCCTTGATTGCTAAACCAGATGTTGTTTATGATACTTTCTCTGAGTACAAAACCAGGATATGAAGAAATACACGTACCTGGTACACATACGAATTTCTTCATGGAAAGTCAGTATATAAAAGAACGTAAAAGCCACCAATTAAGCTTTCAATTCTGGTTTATAACATTGGAGGAACTGCCGGTACTATGCCTCCACCTTTAAATGTTTTCACCAGTCTTCGTCAAGCTTAAAATGGGACCTTGAAAAACACTGGCAGGTGCGTATAAAAATTGGATATAAAAACATTGGGGCTCACCCCAAAATCTCTTAATGTGACTTTGCTGTGAATCTAGTCACAACATGAATTTCTGGTGTATCCCGTGTTTTGGTTTGTTTCTGGTTATGAAACTGAGGATTCCTAAAATGCTCAATGGTACTGTACTGTACTTCAGAAGCCTGAAGAAATCTGCAGAGAGAAGACCATGAGGAAATGTTGAGTTTTAGAGGTGGAGGGATAACCTCTGTGATCAATTTTACAAGAAGAAGCATGGAATCGGTGATTGAGACCTAATGCAGGTTTTTGCCAGGTTGGGTCTGACAAACTGATCACGGAGGCGGAAAGTGGGTAAAGTACCATTTGTGATTATGACCTTCCCTTTCAGTAAAATTTGAATTTCATAATCGTCCACTTACAGAGAGCCTTAGGGTGGTAGACACCATCTGGGAGGATCAGGAGATGCTGGCCGCTCGTGCTTTCCTCATCTGGCACAGCCATTTGATGACCCGAGCGTTCTTGGTGATGATGGACTGGGTTGTGTCTGGGAGCTTCTTCGCCAGGCCCAGGCCCTCCTCGCTCACTTTGCTCCCCTGCGAGATGTTGTCCGAGTTCTCGGTGCTGAAGTTGCCACCCTCGTCGTCATCCTCCTCCCGGGTGTGCTTGTACTCGTGCATGTCGTGGAACACCTCGTCCTCGTCACTGTACAGCAACGGAGAGAGTGGGCTCTGGAGGAAGCTCTCGCTCAGCCCCATCTGGTTGAAGAAGCGCTCCACCTCCGAGGGGGCACTGGAGAGGGAGCAGCTGGGACTGGTCACCCCTAGGTCTGACTTGGAGCGTCGGCGCAAGAATTCCCACCTCGTGGGGGAAGAGAGCGGTGCTGGCCGTGAAGTTGGACCTTCACGATGTGCGGCTTGAATATTCCGGTTCTGCCTGCTGTCAAAGTTTGGGAGGGGCCTGTGGATACTGGCATGAAGATTCACATTGTAAATCTTTGGCACAGGCTTCTTCTGTGCAGCCAAGATCCTCTTCCTACATGCCTTGTCTTCAGATCCTTCAGAGCTGCTACTGCTGCTAGACTTGTGAGTTACTTGTTGGACAGGAATTTCCAGTGCTTTTACATGCAATTTTTGCCCCCTCTTGAGGGTGTTTAGCTCGTCGTCAGGATTTATAATCCGAGAGAGCAGATTCTGCAGTGCCTTGTCATCTTCTTTCTTCTGATCGGCCTGCCGCTGGGGCTTTTTCACCCGCAGGACTTTACTCCGACGGAGCTCCGCTTCATCACTGTCTGTCTCCGACTCCTCCCCTCGAGCTCTATTGGGGTTTGCAGGTGCAGACCACTTGGAATACGTTTCATTGTGGTTGGTACTTGTCACTTCGGTGCTTCTGAACAGATCAATTTTATCGGCCACTCCAGTCCCATTTGCACGCCGTCGTGTGGCATTTTTACCCAGGTCTGAAAGGCTCATTGTCTTGACTTGCTGTGGTTCTGTGTCAGGAGTTGACTTGTCTTTGCCATCATCTTTCTTTGATGAAGACGTGGCTGAGTTGTGACTTAACCTCCGTCTCTTGTCCAACTCACTGCACCTTGATCCTTCCACAGACTGTTCCGAGTATTTCCTTCCGTGTTCTGCCTTCCCTTGCATCTCTGTTCTATTAGAAATTGAGCCACGTTCTCTCGCATCAGGCACTGGTCCATGTAGTTGTACATCTTTTGAAACAACCTGCACCTCATAATCAGTTTCATTATCTTCATAGGTGTTCAAGTTTACATCATCACTAATTTCCACTGGAAATGCCCAGTGGGTTCCAACTGTGTGTATTTTGTCATCAGACAGTGTTCGGTTTTCTGAAGATTCTGAGGAGATGCGATTTCCGTTACCGTCATTATGTGGTTGGCCAGCTCTGTTGGTGTCTCCTTTTGCCGGGCTGAGTGAGATTTCCCCACCTCTTGGACTGCTCATGACTCCACTGAGGAAGCTCTGAACCAGTGATTTTGCACGCTCGTGGCCATCTTCTGGTGACATCTTTGTTGCTGTGCTCTGCTGAAGTCCATAGCTCTGTGGAGTCTGCAACTCCGTGCCAATTTCCCCAGCTATGCAAATGTCAGGAGATAAGGCCCTTTGATTTTGAGAGAGGCTCACTTGTGCCTCCATTTTGTTTGCATCGCTTCTGATCTGGTTTTGACCAAAGTTAACTGGAGCCCAGGACCTTTTTTTGACTGGGCTGGTCGTGGTATACTTAAAGAGTATGCTTTGAGCAATATCCTTTTTTGTGGGCTGTGGGAGGATGGTGTCTTGCTGCAATCTGTCATCCTGACTGCGGTGTCTCGGACGACAGAAGTTTGCTTCTTCTTCAGAGGAGCCAAGAACTGTATCACTGTGATCAAGATCTGACTTGGCTCTTCGGTGTATGATCTCCTCTTTAGAATCAATCTGGGGTGAGTCTTGGGGCTGCAGCCTGGACTGGAAGGCCTTTTTGCTGACATAATGCTTTGATGGGTAGATGCTGCCGATGACTTGCCCTAGTACCCTGTCTCCACCATGATGTACAGCATGTTCAAGCACAGACCTCTGGTTTTTGCTGGTTTCTTCAAGCTCCCCCCAGCGCTCTGGTGACTTCCCAGAGACATTGAACTCCTTGGTTCGCCTCAGTCGCCTTACGTCATCTGACGTCATTGGCCTAGAAATGTCTGGGTCAAACCTTTCTGCACTAAAGCTTTCTCCATGACTTGTTGAGACAAACTTCTGAGATGTGGTATCCTTCCTCATTTTCTCAGTGCGTTTTTTATCCCCTTCTGATGAGAGTTCAAAAGGCGGCATGCAGGGCCTTGAAAATGTGTCTTGTTCACAGGCAACCTCCATGGGCTGGTCACCACTCTCTCCTTCGGAAGTATACGATCTTGGTCTAACAGCACGTGATGATGTTTGCCAAGGTGGCTCTTCCACTGAAGCACTCCGTACTTTTCTCTCGGCTGCCTGCCCTGGAGGCCTCAGGGTAATCTTGCTGATCTTCCGTTCTTGGCCATTCTCGTTTGCCAAGTCGGTGGCGTATCTGGCTTTGAAGCGCTCCATCTGTCTTCTGGTCTGGTCATCGGGAGAAACAAATGAAGAAGGGTGTTTAGCGTTGGACACCATCCCCAAGTCACTTTTCAGACTGTGTTCCTTTTCACTGGAAGTGCCCAAGGTTCTTAGCGTGTCAACCACTTGTGCGTTTCCTCTCTCGTGCAATTTCGGTTCCCCAGAACAACTATGGCCTGGGTGTGACAAAACCTCTTCGGGCTCAATGGCATCTGCCTCAGATGGGGCCTTGAAAGCAGTTGTGTGGGAATCTTTCAGATAGCTGGGGAGATTGCCCTTTAACAAGACCGGAGAACTGGACGAACTATCAGACTTTTGAAATTCTGCTGGGGAAGCTTGACCCTGACTGACTTCACTTCTGCTGTCAGCGCACAAAATGTTCAGATACTGCTCCTTCAGCTTACGGACACGGCTACCGCCACTCAGATTTTCTGGTGGGGAATCAGAATGAGACGATCCCGTATTACTGACAACTCCCTGGGATGAGGAAGTCACTTCATCGGAAGACTGGCTCAAACTGCCTCGAAGCGAAGCTTCCACTATCTCCAGTGTTCGATCTCTACTGCCTTTCCGCACACCCCTCATCAGTTTAACTTGGGGAGGTTTGTCTGGGATGGGTGGGGGTGCCCGCGGACGGGACTTTTTGACAGGCTGGGGCTCCCTGTCCCCCTCATGGACGTATGGGACCGCCCTGAACACATGGCCAGGTGTCCTCTGGTTCTCGTCTCCCTGGTTGTCTTCTAACTCGTCTCGGCTGCCTCGGCGTACAAACTTTGACCGGCTCTCTGCCAGTCGCTCCCTGGCCGATTTTTTGCCGAGCTGTTCCCTGATGGGCAGGAAGCCAGGTCCGGTGTTGAAAGTGCGAAGGGGAAACTTGGTCACAGTTGATGATTCCGAAGTCACAGCCATCTTGCATGCATCTGGAATGTAAAAAAAAAAACAACTTGGGTTTGAACCATCCTTGGTGTGAATTTCAAATTGCCCAGCAAGTTTAAATCTAGAACTGTACGATAAGATGGTGTAAAGTTTACGATACTGGAAGAGACAGGACTTCAAAGCATTTTTTTTTACTTTCCAAATAAATTTTAAGCAAGGAATTTAACCCAGAGACATATTACAAACATTTACCACAGAGGGAACATTTTTCAGGGGAGTACTGGGGGGGGGAGCTCATTTTCTGAAGGATGTTAGGACCTGAACTACTGTTACCTTTCTCATAGGATGGAATGTAAAACACTTACCAAATTTTTTTTTTTACCAAATTTTGTTCCCTTCCCGTTTTAAGTTACTACACTGATTTACACGTCACCCTAAACATTCTCAGGTGAGGTGAGGACATCATTTGCCATCTGTGTATAAAGTTTGTTTGAGGCAACAATTTAAGTGCATCAAATCTAAAGAAGGAAACCAAACAACTTCCCTGATCATGACAACTCAGCTTAGTGAATGATGTACATGTATGGCTTTAGTTTAGTCCTGTATTTATCTTTACACTGAGTACACTTTTCACTGATAATTTTGTCATTTGCCTTTTGGATAACTGCTAATGATGGACTGTGCATGTACATGTACCTACGTGGAATTCACACTAGCAGTTAGGATGTCAGATGATTAAGATGCTTCAAAATGCTTACCCAACAGAGATGGTCGGTGAACATTGTCCAATAAGTAATCGCTGTGGTTTGAAAGGAACGAGGTCTTGTATCACAGCAACTGCAAAAAAAAGAGACGATGAGTCAGCCCTTGGCCATCCAGAAGAAATCCCAAAGCCTGACGTTGTTATTGTGTGGTTTGTAAAGGGTATTCTTCACTTGCTGTAGGGTTGATGTACCAGGACATGCATACAGTTGACATGAATACACTTCACCAGCAGGGCTCTGACAAGAGAACAAATACTGCAGATGTATGTAATCGGACACAGGGCTTTCTTTGGAAATCATGAATGTCGGGGCGCTATATCAACCTGTCTCCCTTTTCAGGTGATTTTTCAAGCAGTACCCCTCATGTTAAAAATTTTAAAAGATGAGCTGCACTGTATTTAGTTTTGAACCATTACAAAGCTTAGATTAAAATTACGCATGCAATTTTTTTTTCCCCCAATGCAAGTTTCTTTCAAATGAAATGTTTCGGCAGAGTTTCACAGACAGCAAAATGAAGCAAAGTTTGTAAATGACTGGCGTCACCTTTTGAGTCATTAACAAAAGAAATATTTCCTCATAGCATGTGCAAAACATACGTGTACTCTTCACATCTTGCTCATTTCACCAAGGTTACACCCTGGCAATGTGGTCCCTTGTAATTCACAAACACACACTGCTCAGCATTCACGTTACAACCAATGATGTATCCACTTCTCTTTCATGAAAAAAACAAGGAAATTCACACATTGACAAACTCGGGTTACAACTTTTTTCCCTCGTTTTAAATGGTTTTAAGTGCACTTAGATAGGCATACTCGTAACTATGCACCATTTTATACACAATGCATTAGTGCTGACATGTGCAAAGAGCCCCTATGATTCATGACTGCATTTAAAACATACCAAAAGATGCTACACTGAGCCTTCTGTGTTCTCTCACAAAACCTTTTGAGCTCTAACGCCTTTTGAAATCCAAGTACCATCATACAGTCGTACATGTACCCAGGTAGTGCATACTGAAGCACACAAAAAGGCCCATTCAGAGGAGCAGACTTTTACCCAGGGACGCAGAAACTACATGTATAGTCCTGCCTTTTTTTTTTATCCCGTTGTTATTATTGTAAGAAAAACTGACAACCATTTTTCAAAGACATGGCCAGCTCCTACCTATTATTCTCCTTTCCCAGGCTGGAAATCTCAAGGGACAAATAAACAAACAGTTCGGCAGACCAAACTTTCCTTCACACTCATAGTGGAGACAGCCACTTAGGGCTGAGAACACTGTACAGGCAGGTACTAGTATCTGTACATGAAGTGGCTTCCTAGATATGCCCCTCCCCTAACTACGGGTACATGTAGTTCCGCCCCCCACAATCAGCTGTTGATCATGATTATTTTCAAATTCCCCTCCCCTAAAAAATTCCCCTCAAGTGTATTCCCCTCCCCCCAACCGTTTTCACAGAAGAGTGCCACTGAATACTTCAACTGCACAAACCTGAATGACTATAATCTTCAATGAAAAAATTTATAGACCATATGAATGCTATCCAATTTGAGAAATTTATGTCGTGAAACTTACGCAGTACCCAGCCAAAGTTCCACCCAGAAGACACAGTGGACACGTGGGCTGACATGCATGCATTGTAACTTCTGCTTTATCGGCTACCGGTACGTGTCACGCTTCGTCAACTCTGACGGTTGATTTGAGCACTGAAGAGTGACGACACATCCAGTATGAAAGGGAGCTCATGGACCGTGGATGAGTCTAGCAAATTAAACTATGCCCCAGGCCGTGGGATAACCCACTTCAAATGACCAGCTCTTGTCAACAATCAATCAGGGGAAAAAAGTCATTTTTTTACAGGTACACGTAACTGACCTGCATTATCAAGACCTCAAAAAGAATACATGTACATGTACCAGTGTCTCGCCCAACTGCTTTGTTACTTTGCAGCACTTCACACGGGGGGGGACAAACCTACATGCACATGCAGTAGGCCCTACTGTATCAACAAAAATGCAGTCTCACTTTGATATGCAGCTATTTGGCAGGACATGTATAATGTTCCATTTTGATTACAACACGTGCATACATGTACATACATGTACAATAGTTGTATTTCCGTTGATGAACTTTGGCCAAGTGCATGCATGGAGGAATAAAACATGTAGTGCCCTTGTGATTCTAATGATGACTCCTTGTTACAGGAATGACATTCTGCAGCCAATCATGTCCCTTTTTATCTTGAATCCGCCAAAGGATCAAAAGGCAACAGGCTGACGTGTACGGTGTGCCTTTTCCTAGAATCCATGACTATCCATTTAAAACTGCCCATTTTTCCGAGAGAAATCTAGCACCATTGCAAATTCTGCTGGACACACATGGTGTACTGTATGCACACGCACACACGTACGCTATAATATTTAATTCTAAACGGAAAATGACAAAATGAGGTTTTTCTTTGTCACACAATTGCCCACCAGCAAGGCCAGTGTTCAGGTGTACATGATCTATTAATATGCATAGCATAGTATTCAATCAACTGATACGGTACCAGTTTTTTTTCAAGACAAAATTACTGATTCAAATTCAACTAAATTTCACATTACCTAAAAAAAAATCCATTTACATGAATATCAATTTGTACAATAAGCATACACAATGTACCAACATGCACCGTATAGTATTCAATCAACTAATACGGTATTAGTGAATCAATTAAATGTCACGTTACTAAAAAAAATTCCACTTACACGAATATCGATTTGTACAACAAAAACAGTACACGTTCTACTGTCCTGCAAAGTTTACAATAAACACAAATTGTTACACCAACTGTTTCACCCATCCAATGAATGGCTAGTCTGTAAATCTACAGACCTGCACAGGTCTTTAAAAACTAGCTTTAGGGTGTTTTCTTAAAGATCATTTTCACTCACTGACTTTTGAGTAATCAAGGAGAATGCAGCTTGTATGTGTAGGCTATTCCTCTTCTTTATCTGATAATTGTTTTCAGTTCCACAACCCTTTCCAATGTATGTAGGATCCGTTACCTCTTTCAGTTCACTTCATAACTGTAAAGAATTTCACGCTTGACAAGTTTCATGTAAACACAGTCACTGTAAAGTACTATAATGTACAGTACCTTACACATTACTCATGAAACTTCAATTCTCTAGAGAGCCCATTTGTGGCTGCTCTGTTCTTTTTTTCCTACGAAACTGTGGGACCTTTATTCAAGAACTACATGTACAATCATTACTGTAGGTATACGTCTGTGCATTGAACACATCACCATTTTCTCTTTCTGACGTTTGTCAAACACAAAATTGAAAAACTTGCCCAACCCAAGTCCATTATGTACAGACACAGAATTCTGCGACTCCCAGAAAGTAGCCTGGCGGCCCATCACGTTTCGCTTATCTCCCACCATGATTAAAAGGTGTACACATGTACACACCGAGCTTTCAAATCTGGCTGCCAAGTGTAGAATTTTTGGTGCTACATTTGTATGGTGCATTTAGACAAAATTCATCTTGAATCATGTAAGCCTGCACAGTTAATTTTGGTTCACTTTTTAGAATCCCTTTTGGGAGTCCATTTTTCCCGGTTCTCTCTTGCCTTGGAAGTTTGAACCCTCTCAAAGAATTGAGTACACATACATACATTAATGTTTGCCAGACATAGAAATATTTTCACACAGAAAAACAAACTTCATGGGTTCCAATTTCTGAAGGCTGGTTAAATGAATTATGACATGCAGACAACAGGTTGAATAAACCTGACCTCCCATGGAGCAAAATGTAAGATCCATGGGCGCTGGGAAAAAAACCTGGATAACAGCACCACCACAGTGTTGCTGTGGGATTCCAACCTGCCAGTCAGCGTAAATTCATGTTCCATGCAAACACAGGGCAAGGCACCCCTCACTGCATGGGACAGTCAAAAATGCTTGACTGGGGGTTCACTTTTTTTAATCAGCCCTTTTTTTGTTTAAAGATTTACCACTGAATGGTGCTGAATATTTCCTGTCTGTCAAAGGTGTACCACACCTGGAATGTGAAATGCAAACCTTCCATGGAAACTCTTTGACCAAAGGCAACTTGATGCTTGATAAAATGGGCAGGAAGAGACCTTCCTTGGGGGTCAAAAGGTCACTGATATCCTCTTGGCAATTTTAGTGGAATGTCTGATTCGTAAAGGAATCCTTCAAATTGTCTTTTGCTACATATGTATGTAGGCTAATCGGTTGAATTCCTGCATTGCCTGAACTTAGTCTGGTAAACCTCACAGCCGAGCTACATGTACAGTACATGTATACAATGCTGAGTATTTCAACTGCAAAACCTGCATGAAAATTGAGCAAATTTACATTTCATATGGCAACTCAACTGACTCTCCCTCTCTATCATTCTCCATAGAAGTGAATGGATCTTAGAAAGATAAATTGCCACTTGAAATCACACAAGGGTCATCTGCAATACATGTATTGTATATAGTGAACAAGCACAGTATAATATAGGCTCAACATGTACCAGTACATGTATGTATATACATGTACACTGTACTTTGTACATAGAGCTACATACATGTACATCTCTGTGATTTGAGCCAGGCTGAATTTTAGCAATGAATGCTGTAATTTGTTGCCAACATCTTTCATTAGTTACCAGTAGTTGACAAGATTATGGTTGCTTTTCCTGTTAAAACAGTAAACAGCACACAAATTGGTTGAAAGTATTCACAGTATTCAAAGTATTCATCAGATATTTTTAAATTTATAACTCTGTATCTGGACTGTGCTTTTGATTTCCTTGTTTCCATGTACATGAAAATGAAATTTACATATTCTGTAAGTCCATAATACCCATTACAAATTTGAACGTGTGCACTGAGACCATGAAACTGTCATTCAGAAACGAGCAACCCATCAATATTTACAATGGGTATCAGGCTATCAGCAGTGGTTTTGATGCCAAAATAATTAGGTAAATAATCTACTGTGCATGTGAGCAGGTGTGGCTGGAATTCAGCAACACAAGCTGCTATTTCCAGGTTAACGGTGAGCAGTGTTCTAGCTACATGTAGGACCATTTAAGTGCCGGGTAAACTTTCGGATTACAAAGCGTAGTGAGCGCAGTTCTCAATGCTTTCTGACGCTTGAAATACGATCCAATTGGTACATTTAAATTTTCAGTAATATTTCAGTTCATTTTTTTGAAAATCCATGCTGGGTGGCACGGCCAATTTGAACCTGAGAGCCGGGCGGAAATTTGCAGTACGGGGTAGTGCCGCCCAGCACCGCCCACCGCGGCTAGAACCCTGGCAGTGAGGAGAAAGAAGAAAATTACATGACAGACATTCAAGACCGACAAGTGTCAAGGGCTACTTGAAAATGCAGATTCATCTCTAACTTTTCAAATTTACCGGTACTTCTGCTGCTAGGGCCTCTCTATCAATTTTCACACATTTGAACGGGGTACATTTTATCAAACTCTGCTGGGCTTTGGTCATTTAAAATTCCCGAGGGCTCTGCAGTGAGGCCAAGCAAAAAAATAAATATACTCAGCTTCTGGGTTTTGAGAAAATAAGAGAATGGTAGTTCGTTTTTTTTATATTCCAAGACACATGTACATGTACATACATACTAGTGGCTGCCATTTTGGCTTAAATTTCCAACAACCATTGCTGTTTTCACTGTTCCAAGATAAAAACAATTAGACCTTTCAGACAAGAAAATCAAATGCAAATATATGAAGTACATGTGCATGTAGCTATGATACTTTGTTTAGCATTGAAGAGTTTCCGGCATGTATGTAGTTTCACACAAATTAAACACACCAGCTTCCAAGTTCCATCTATGGTACATGTAAGTTAACTGTGCACAAGCAACTTTATACAGTACATGTATTTGGAGGTGGCCATATCAAGACGTTTAGTCTACCAATGTTCAGATGTGCAGCACTAGTACATGTAGTACATCAGTATACGATAGGTTGATTTTTTTTTTGCATTTTCACCTCAATTTCACTGCAACAAGGAAAAGCAAAGGAAAAAATCACCCGGGGTCTTGTTTTCCTTCATCGTTGGTTACAATTCTTACTGTAAGCCCGGGTCAAAGTTGGCACAAAGGCAAAAATGAACACAAATTTGTGATGTCAGAATAAATAGTCGCTTTGCAAAAGTTGAACATATTTCAACTTGAGTGAAATTTCGCTGCAAATTTTTCGTGACGTCAAATCCGCTTCGCTTTCCCATTTTGCCTGAAGTATGAACTGACCTTTACATGTAAAGCAGATGGTTGCTTGGTTGGTAGACCACCAAAAGTACATGTACATGTTAAGTACTGTACATGTAAGTGTACATGATAATGTGGCCACGATCAGTCCATCAGCATACACTGTAATCGCACGACTGTGTTGAGATACATGTATGGTATTAGGCCTATTGTATTAACTTTAGCCTAAGGGTAACCCCCAGAACCGTGGGGTTCGTCGTCCATTGCACTCCCATCTTCGTGGGATCGGGGGGGGGAGTGCGGTAGATCGGGGGGGGGGGAGTGCGGTAGACAACAAATCCCATAGTTCTGGGGGTCCTTTAGGGACCTGTTTGTTTCACACCTTCCTCCATGATCAGTGGTCCCATTCCTAATTGGCTCCATCCATGATTAGACAGGTATCAAGTGAACCAACTACAAATGATCGTGATTTGAATCTATGTGAAAGAAGCAGGGCCCCGGCCCTAGGTTTTTATAACTCCATGGTAGCCTATCACCAGTCACTTCTGTCATGTCTGTTTGAAATCTCTGATTTTTTTAGGCCTTCTCCCTTTTTGAAAACACTCTCCCACAACCACCATGATGACAAGTGCCGTGAACTTTTTTGTGGAAAGACAAGGCAATCGGCTGATGGTGGAATTATGTGCACATTTTACAGTCAGTGGGATCAGCCATGTCTACACAGGCCTATCCAGAGATTGGACAGATTACGCCCTTGGCGCCAAACAAAATACATCGTACCGGCGGCGGTAAGTTGTATTCACAAACGGCATGACTTGGGCTTGAACGAACGGCAACAGAACACTCTCGATCCCTGCACACTCAGCGTGCATATTTATTGAACATGCTAAACTGATGAATCAAACATTCTTTCCAACCACAGTACAGCATATTACAACTTGTTCGGTTCAATTCAAATGAAAGAGACGCGAGGAAAACTTACCCTTCTCCCCAGTATCGACGGGTTTAAACCTTTGGATAATTATTCTTCTCCTGGCTTCTTTTTCGATTCCTAAATTCAAACTGAACTTCCCGACGATACACAAACCACTGCGACGCGGTGTATCATCACTGATGTCACACAAATATAAATGAGTGAATTTTACGTTAAGTGAACAAGAGATGGCGCTGTTTAACATTAGGGATAAAAGGTCCATTTGGATTAATTCAGTGAGTAAATTAAAGGGTGCGGTGCTTAATTCAAGACAAGCCACTAAGCAGTAAGTTGGGCAGTCCTCTCTGAAGGCAAAAGAGGGAGTCCCTTATAAATCCACTCCAAAAGAGTGAAAACCACTCAGTAAGAGGGAACCATATAAAGAACAACTCTATTTTCAAGTGGTCACCTGCAATGGCTTATTTGAAAAGTGGAAATTTCTCTCTTTTGGAGTGGTTTCTGAGGGATTCGCTTTTTTCGAGAGTGACTTTTTCGAGAGTGACTTTTTAACTCTATTTGCATTTAGAGAGTCGGTCGCTTCGATACCAGCTAAAGCTATCAGGCTGAGTTCGGGTGGCTGGAACTGGCTTGTTCTTGTGTGTTCACGAACAGCTCGATATGTTGTTTGTGGGTCGGCCGCTCGAACGGTTTCGCAGGAGATAGTACGACAGGCAACACGGTGGCGTCCATGTACGTTCTTCAAGGGTAAATGTTTGGAATACGGCCGTTTCACGATAGTGTGCCACCAAGAGTTTGCAACGCGTCGGCCAATCACAGTGCGCGAAATTTGTCGCCCAATGCGCGTTTGGAAAGGGTCGACAAATTTTGCGCGTCATGATTGGCCAACGTGTTGCAAACTCTCCCTGGAGCGCTATTGTGAATCGCCCGTATTATGGACTGCATTCTTTTCCTATTAAAAAGGAACGCCCATTACTGTGTTATAAAAACTTACTAATGCTCATTTTGCAAAACTTCCCAATCGCCTCTGGCTTTGTAACTCATCTTACTTTTTTGCAACTGTTCAAAAAACAAAATCCCACAAGTTTTTCCTCAAGTTTCTGAAAAACCTAACGTGGAGGTGGTGTGTGATCCTGTTATAAGAACAGTGTTCTTGGTGTTCCCGCCGTTCGAATGCGAAAACAATTCAAGAATGTCAAAAACAGGCTGCCTGAACTTTACTCGGCGCCGCTCATCTTGATTCGGATTGAGGGCGCTAGACAGAGGTCATAATGGTTGCAGGCCAGTAAATAAACTGCCATAGCCAACAGTAAATACCCAAACTTCGAAAAATCAGGATACGTTTCTTAGGCATTCGATCGCGAGATGCACATCAAATTAAAGCCCATGCAGTTTTTTATTTTTTGTTTTCTTTCAAATTTCTATCCATTCACCAATGACTTTTGAAGATATCTGTTTCCACAGAAGGTCACCCCTAAAGTGCATTAATTTGTGAAGCCCCGCGCCATTTTGAAATATTGATTGCCTACACTTCTCGAAAAATAGACCGTTTTCAGGCACCGATTTCTTCAAAATCTCACTCAGACGCAAGCTGGTATTCTCTTAGCCAGCCTAAACCTGTCTTTTCCATAAATCTTCAAGTTCATGGGCCACAAAATGCTCTATTTCGTAGAGAATTTGACTGAATACAAATTGTGATTTGGCCCGCGCAAGCATTTTTCGGCCTTTTTACTGGACTGTATCCATATCAAACTCAGAGTGCTACCCATCGCATCCAAATGCAAAACGTTCAGCAACTTTTTAGCAAGCAACAATAGGCCTACTGCGACCTAGGAATGGACAGTCAAGGATCACTGACGATTTGGAATTCGGTTTTTGTTCAGTGGTAGATTTTGCCGGAGGCCGTGAAAATTGAAAAGGAACAGCAAACAGATGGAGGATCATGTTGGGCATACTTTCCAACAGTTTTATTACCCCAACCGGGAAATTTCTTCCTGTGAAAGGTCCGACTCACTATACAAAGGTCCTAAACCTTCTCTGGTTTGGAGGAAAGAAAGTGTAGTTTGATGAAGCTACACCTCGCTCCCTGATGCAATGCTTGATATTGTATAATCACACCTCCAATTTACCGTATCCGAGTTCCCTGCGCAACAAGTTGTTATGATTGTGTCATGGACTGGGGACCTCAACTTAGCTTCGCCTTGGTCAGTGCTTTAGCTTTGACAGAACCCACTGAGTGCATCCCCCTTCCCGCAAAATGTACGCAGTTACGTCACTGACTTGGATATCCCGGGCACAGACTTAGAAAGCTTCCACCTTTTTTGGGGGGGGGGTCACCAGTTGCAGTGAGTTCAGAGTTAAACTTAGGCAAGACTTTGTTTTACGCAGTATGATCCTATGGGCTAAACGGTTTCACGTCTGTTTGCAGTAGATGCCACCCGTATCATCTATACAAATAACAACCCCATGTGTAAACCCGGCGAGAATCTATTTGATTGCAAATAGAAATACAATGTATTAGGTAAGTTGACGTAACGGAAAGCTGGTTTATAGAGAGAGCCTGGCTATTTAATGTCCCAGAGCGTAGCAAAAAGATCTCCTCGAGATAACCAACAACTCAAAGAAATTTGAGCCATTTGGGGGAATCATTCTGAGTATAGAGGGAACATTTTTATTTATTCAACTTAATAAATCCATGCCAGAACCGTGCATTTGGGAGAATCAAATCTGTGTTAACAAGTGCACCCTGTCCCCAATTATCCAATCCTGGTTTGGCCAAGTTCTTTAAACTTCGTACCCCGTAAAAACGAACTGTTCATCTGTCAGCAATCTGCCCCTTACCGGGCAACACTTTTCCGTTTTCGGGATGGAGCGGCAGCGACGTCAAAAATTTCAGTTTTTCCAGTTTCACACAGGGCTGCCATGGCCTGCATCGCTCTTCTGAGGGCCTTCTGCATTTCATTAATGTGCTATTGGCTGCACTCGAGATGGAGTGAAGCCTTCCCTAAATAAAAGAAAAAGGCCACTTTTCTCTCCAACTATTGTACAGGCATATGTTGTGGCACAGTCTGGTATTTTTGACAATCATACGACAACTCAGTCATGGTCGGATGAACCAGTCTATCTGCCACTAAAACCAATATTACCAATATCGAGGCATAAAATAATAGACGTAGCCACAACGCAGAATTCCGTCGCCAAGGTTCGACAAGGAGGCGGTTTGTTTGTTCACGAGCCTGCATCTCGATCTCTGCCATCGTTCGCCCAAGTAAATTAGACCCTATAAACACGATTTGTAAATGGCCACGCCAGTGAGCAACTTATTTGGTTCGCAAGCGAAAACAGACAGGTCCAAATATGGCTCCAGCAGTACAGCGTTATTGATAATAATGTAAAACAAAACAGAAATAAAAAGAAATGACGCAGGTCACTTGTTACATATCTTAATTTTCAGTGACTGCTCTTACCAAAATCATAATTCAACGATAAGTCGAGGGAACTTGGGAAGAATTTTTTTATTTCTAAACTATTGCAATCTAAATTCTGGGTGATTTTACTCTAAGCCTAAATCGTACTTGTCCTCAGTTTACAATGTCTGAAAATATCTTAATGTTCGGTTTAATTAGATTATGGAAACATAAAGTCGATATCCACCCCGGCTCTGCTTTGAGTTTACGATCTATTCAAGGTTTTATGCCCCTCGTGTTCCGAATTTATTTGCTTCTATCAGTAAGCGTCCTCAGGCTTCAAGTTATTTACTACACTATAAATATAGTGCAATATCGATGCATGGCTTGCCTCAAAGTTTAATTTATTGAGACAAGACATTCATCTTTCAAGTTATTCTGTTTAATCTCTGGACTCGAAACCATGATGAGACAAATCATCGCAAGGTTGAACTGAGGCAGTAACAGAATACATGTACTTCTCTTACATGTTGCATATTTATGTACCATGAACAGTGTACAACTAAACCGTCAAAGGCAACTCGACTGGCGGTACAACACGAAGCTTGTTAACGCCGGGCTCAGGGTGAGGAGTCGCCGCGACAAAATTTATCATTAAAAATTGTTGAACTTCGGTCATCGGGCATTTCACTGCATGGCTGTTTTTTGAGATCTGGGGTGTAGTATGGGTTATTAACTTATAAGAACGATAATGATCAGCGAATTCTCGGAGAAGGACGGCCATCGTAAGTGTGGTGCGGCATGGACGGCGGTCGGACTTCGGGAAAACCTGGTGAGCATACTTTGCTTTTAACCAAAGAGCCGCAACCGCCCGCTTTAATTTTCAAAACATTTGAAACAAACATACGTTGAGAAGCATTGAGCTTAAAAAACAATTAAGCTGGTAGTGTTTGCCTTTAGGTTGGACGTTTTCCAAGGAGCAGGGATATGGCAAAGCCCATTAACTACCGAAACCAACCACCCATGACCAGCAATGTTGTGACAACCCGCGGCGCTATGCGCCTAAACAAAGAAATTCGTTAATTTAAAATTCAAAAGTCCTCGCGCTAGTAGCCTGGTGACTGCCTTTCAAAAAACACCCGGTAGGCCTACAAAATGGACACCGTGCTCAGGATCGGGGCAAAAGGCTATCCAACTGTTACGAAAAACATATTTTGAAGGCACATGTGACTGCACGGTGGGGTGGCGGATCCAGTCGAGACCGGTTCCAACTGCCACCCTTTGTTCGCATTTCGTTGTACTTGCTTACAGCACAAACATGAGACACGGGTACGCGCAAATGTACAGTCATGCATGTACATGTACACGTCCATTGTACATGTACAATGCATTGTCGACTCGGGAAGCCCTTGGTGATAAGCAGGGTCGGGGAAGCCCTTACCTCAACGTCACATCGATCCAAAGTCCTGATTGGCTGGCACGCGCTCCATCGCCACAACGGGATTCCCGTTGCCAATCAGCTGATAGCTGCGCCCCTGCAACTTGCGGAATAATTATGATGCAATCCCACTGTATGTTAAATTTTCTCCTGCTCTTTTGCAACCACTGGGCCACCTGCCTCTAAAGTCAATCTATTGTTAGCAGCCTCACATACCAGCCAGTGCTCTCACTCTCTCTCTCTGCCTGCGTTTATGAGTCGCAAAAAAATCGCCAAAATATCAACAAACATGGATGCCCTCCAGAGAGCAACGGAAAAGCTGAAGAAGCTGATGGAGCTGATCAACGCCAGGTGGGGCTGGGTGGTGACACTCTCAGCCTTTTTCATCTTCTTAACGTGCTTTGGTACGCTCTACTCTTTTGGCATCTTACTCATTGAATTACAGGAGGAGTTCGGAAGCGGGGCGTCCGAGACATGTAAGTGTTAAAAAAATTATGGTCTTAGAACCTGTGTGTTTCAATGTTTGTGTGGATCAGATTCATTTTGAATCTCCGGATTTGTATCATTCAAAATGACAAAATTGAGTTTTGGTGGCTAAGCCCATGCTGAGACCGTGAACTTGAAGATATATAACTTGCCAGGCCTTGCCTGTCTTATCTTATAATAAAAGCTTTAAGTTGAGCCTTTTGTGTTTAGAAAATTCAACTCATCAACTTTTCTTCTGTGACAAATATTGAGATGACGGATTGAGAACAGGTGTTATTGTGGTACATAGTGACTGAGGCATATTGCCCAGCCTCTCAATATACCTTTCGCGGCCTTACTGATCGTTTTGCACTTAACGACATGCACGATGCATTGCGCAACTACCAGCAATAAAGTTTCATTTGCACTCCTGCTGTTTAACATTCTATTCAGCAAAATACGCTTCAAATTGACACATCCATTATACATATAGTCTAACAATGCTCCAAAAATTAACTTATAATCAGCATTTTTGTATAATCTAAATAATCAACCGGCTTTTATTCGAGCAGTGTAAGACCACAAGTAGACATGCCTGACGTATGACTCTCCTGCATTACGAAACTACAGTTCGCAACACGCGCATATGTTACTTTCAGTTTTGCTATCTCAGCTTCGTCCAACCTAGGCTAGCGGTTTACCGTAATGTTGTCGAGCGCCCAGGCATGCATTATTATAGTCGTCACGGGCTAAGTTGCCTACCGGTCTGCGGTTTTGCGGTTATTGTCTCGTGACCGGCAAGACTGGTCTTGGGCCGCACCCGTCACCCATAATCAGCCGAGTTTTGTGCACAGCTACCCCGAACTGTCAGGATCACGGTCAGGTCGGACCACCGCTCGTATAATCGGCGTGATGGAATCCCAGAATCCTCGCCCCAAATCACTCAATCTCATGTGTTCCTCGTTAGGAGGATGTTTTTGGGACATGTTTAGTAAAGTTCCACCGCGGTGAATTTTGCTTGCCCTGTCTCTGAACCGACGTCCCAGTGATTCTTAAATTAAGTTTTTTTGAGAATCCCCATGAACCTATGAAAGAGATCATCGATGTCGGAAAGAGAAATGAAAACAAGCAGCATGTGGGATGGTTTCACATGGTGAAACATGATTTTTCTCAAAACAAAAAAGGACCTATTTGAAATTTTTGACTAATGGGAGAGTTTGATGAAGGAGTAAAAAAGGCCTTACTGAACCCAAACATCAGTGTGCTTGTTTGTGATGCCTGTTGATCATTGATTCTGAACAACTAAATATCAACAGACTAGCAAAACCAAAGGGATCAAAATACAAGCCAAATATAATACTTTCCTGCCAACAATTAGGACCGATTTATCATCCACGAGACGGTGCGTGCCGTCCGTAGATCGCCCGATATAACGCCGTTTCGTAACCTGTCTCAAGGAAATGAATTATTCATGGCGCCCTCTTTGTTACTCTACCAGTCAGGATACCAATTTGCATACAAAGACCCCTCTCTGCGCTCCTCACGGCATGCATTGTTCCCCGCGTGTATGTTTACTTTCAAAAGTTTATTTTACCTCTGGTTGGGAGGTTGCCTTTAACCACCGAAACAAATCGACCGTTGCAATGTTTATACATGTACATTGTCGTTAACGACAGCGTAAAATATGCACGAACCAACATTGTCACCTATATTTGTAATATTTTTTCTTGTGGAAAAAAATATCTGTACCGGCACCAATCAGACATTGCATGGAAAAAAATAAGAATATTCTATACGAAAGAGCTGTTAACGTGTTCAACTTGGGCCACCCTTCGAGCATACAAGGCTGCACATGACACTGGCTAAATCTCATGCATGTTTGTGTCCACGTCCGTTCACTTTCCGCATAAACTAACCTTTTGCCGCGTTTCACCCTCTCCGCATGGCACGCATTCGGATTGGAGCCGCTTTGTATGAAAACCCCGTAAGCGGAAGGGCGCCTAACACATCGCTCAATTGCTGTTTGCGCACCGCTGAAATGGACCACTTTTCCTGAGAGAGAGGCTTTAAACTTTCCCAATAGTTTTGTTCTGTAAGCCATGGCGGCTTTCAATAGGTTGAAGAGAATTGGGCAGTTCGATTGGTTGACTTGTCGCTCTAATTTACTTTTTGATTCCGAACCGTGTAGGTTCGTCAAATGTACTGAATTACTTTAATTATAATATAAAATGAAATCGTTAATTTACAGTGATCTCAAAACTAATCATAGATGCATTAAATCTTTTGAGAGATTTAATCACTATCCTTGATCGATCTAGATAAATTGATTAAAGATTAACATTTTACTAATTGTTAAATTGGGAATCAGTCGATCGAGTGAATGATCGATTGAATACAGAGCTAGGTTAGCCTGATGAATTGACTTAGGTTAGGTTTGATGAATTGACTGCTTTTTACATGTTTTACTTCATTGCAGCATGGATTGGTTCGATCGCCATCGGTCTCCACGCCTTGGGGACCTTCGTCTCGAGTGCTCTCGTCCGGCGCTTCGACAACCGGCCGGTGGCCATCGCCGGCATCTTCCTGTGCTTCGGCAGCGTCATCGTGACGTCACTCATGCCTCTGCTGGAGGTTCTGTACTTCACATTTGGCGTTGTCTACGGCGTGGGCATCAACTTCATCGTCATCTCCTCCATCAACCTCATCCTCCGCTACTTTCCGACCAAGAATTGCTCGCGAGCGACCGGTGTGGCTCTCACCGGCTCCACAGTAGGTGAGCTGAACAAAACATGTCTTTCTTTTCCTTATATCTTTTTAAAGACTCATTCATTTTTTATGTTTCTGTCTCATTTAAGCTGGGGCAAGTGTACTAACAACACGTCAACAGTTTTCGTTCGCGTTCCTTTACCAATCAGTCACTCATACTGTTCCATTATAACTTTTAGTTCGGACACCATGCAGTCTCATCATTTCCATTTCAGGAAAGAAAAGTTTGGGAAAAGCAAGGTGTGATGAATTCGTTCAGAAAATTCCGAGAACACAGACTGAAGATTAATTTTTAGTACCTGAGATAAAGGGTAATACTTTGCTTGGGTTTTCTAAGTGCACTAAGGCTTAAGTTGTATGACAAAAGGAAGATTTCTCTTTATGGGAACCCGTCCTTTTTAATGCTTTGGAGTTGATGAGGTAGCCAAACCATTCTGGAAAGTTTATGCATACGTGGGTTATCACTAAGAACCATTGGCATAACGCTGCAAAAACTGTGGGCGTTGCATCAAATTGGTTTTGAGTTAACACCCTCGGTGCACCTATAGAGCAATGCCAGTCCAGTGTTGTCCTTTAGGAACACTGAGGGTGTTAAATCAACACGAATCTAGCACCACAGTTTTTGCAGTGCATGAGGTGGCGGTCATTTTTTGCCATGGGATTCAGGTTGAAATTAACACGGATTGAAAGCACCCTTTTTACAGGCAGGGGGACAGCCAATCAAGTTTGGTTACACGAGAGGCGCAGGAATCCACCAATTTGTAACTCCTGAGTTTTAAAAATGAATAGCGACTGACAGATAAGAGCTTTGTGAACAAACATAACATCATGTAAGATGAAAAGATTGCTCGAGAATTACGTTTAAATAACGAGCATCAGTCGGAATACAATTCACGAAATGGTCGAAGTCTGCAGGTGTTTATTGCGTCCTTTGTAGATTTTTGCGTGTTCAGATTAGTGCTAACTTTTGTTTGCCAAGGGTTGATTTTAACGACTTTATTTTATCACCTGTATTTGAGAAACATCTGTGACGAGGGCAGCGGGTCCTTGAACCCTGATATCACAGAGTCCAATCTAAATCCGGTCTGAAACCAATGGAACAGAAAATACCTCTCAAAATAGTTTACGGAGTCGATATCATAAAAGATGACTAAGATGATGCGATAAAGGTTAAATAGTTTTCTCTGAACTATTTTCCAACCAGCAAAGTTAGTAGTTGTAAACCCCATGAAAAAAGGTATTTTATTTTTGAACATCACTCGTTGGAAATCATTGCATTCGAGGAAAGTAAAGCGTAAGAAGCGTAGGCTACTTTTCGTAAATTCTCTCAATTTTATATAGTTGGTGCCTTCTTTGTGAATATTTAATTTTAAGAAGTAGGACTTATCTTTGTAAAAAGATATTTCATTATCAGTGTAATTTCGTTTTCGTAGATGTGGAAAATAAATAATTAATTTTGCGTTATGTCCCCTTTACTTTCCTCTCTTTACGTTCTCTTCCACTCTGCGGTCATTGTGCTGATTGCCGGGCCGTAATTTTGCATGTCAGTTTTCAGGCCTTCAAAAGTTTGGTTGTACAAAGGCAAAGCGGTGTCTTTACTGCTTGTAATTTCATCACCTGCACGAACCAGTGGATGATGAAAAGATAGATATACCAGAACACTATCTAATATTTCTCTTTTATATCGTTCAATCTCCACATATCTGCTAGAGCCCCATTGCTTCTTAATAGCATGGGTGTCTCTGGCAGCCTAGATTCTCCCCGAAGACGGAGACTACGACACGGTAAGATATGCAGGCTACCAATTACAAGGGGCCGCCAGAAGAACCTAGATGGGTTGTCAAGACTAGACGCATGTCCATCCAGCACGGACCCAAGACTGACGAATGTAGACGCAGGAGAGTCTCTCTTCATTCAGACGAGTTGCTAGACGTCAAGAGGAACCCAGGACTTATAATGACGACTATCTTCGTGGATCTCACGTCTATGGCTCCGAAAAACGTGAAGAGGTTAATGGCAACCTGTTGGAGTCGTCTGAACATCCGCAGATCCGGCTTGTAGAATTCAGCAGAACCTCAGTACGCTACAGAAACCTGACGAAACTGGGAGAGATCATCCCATCACTCAACCATCAATCCATTTCCATGATTCCAACAGTTATCTGTGCGTTTCCCGTTACTCGAGAAGAAAACCACATGACTCCTGTTTGTTTTAAAGAGAAGTATAACACTGGTATGTATCACGTAAGGTAAACCGTACCAATGTAACCCATGTGTTAAACTAACCCACTCTGTTTTCCCCGTTTTAGCTTGCCGTGGTGCCGGTATCACAGTGATACTTTGATCATGCAGCATGGATTTCGTGCTCTTTTGGCATGACTGGTGCATAAGCATGGTTATGCCTGCGCATCCCGAATGTGGTCCCCGATGCTGGGGGAGAGACGGGCACCAGTTGTTCAAAACTCATTGGCTTCTCTCCGATTTGACTTGCTGTTGTGCAGGTATGCTGGTCATGAATCAAGTTGTGCATCACCTCATCGTCGCGTGGGGCTGGCGGAATATGCTCCGCGTGGTCGGGGCGATTCTCCTGATCGTCTCCGTGCCGTGTGTCAGCACTTACTCCCAGCCGTCCTCCAAGAACCTGGTCCTGGCGGACTCCATAGCCCCTCTCGAGGAGGGAGAGGGGAAGGAGAAGGAAGGGGTGGATGAGGAGAAGAAAGCCCTGGAGGAGGAGAAGCAGAGGCTCAAGGAGAAAGAGGCCGAAGCTGAGGAAGATGAGGCGAAGCCGAGCAGATGCGAGCGGCTCCGCAACATGGCATATCCTGAGCTCTGGTTTCTCTCAGTCGGCATCATGGGATGCTGCATGACACTCACATTTTACTACGTCAGTATGGTAAGCTGATTTCTTCTGTGGATTTGTTCTGCATGGCTAACAATGTTTAATTAGTTATAATCAATTGAAGCAAGCTCAGCTTAATAATGTGAAATAATCCACCTTGAGCAGAAGCAACCACTCATCGGTTGAAAAAAGCCATGTTGGTCGGGAAGATTCATTTTGATGGTCGCGGCGCGACCGTAATGCGTGCATTTCATAGTCGTTCGTGAACCAGCGAAGTGATCAGTTCCTACCAAAGGAGCGTCCATTGCAAAGAAAATGGTATCCTCTGTTGGCCCAGCTCGAAATTCTTAATGATCCGGGTACATGATACAGGCCTGGTCTCCTGAGGGATTAAAAGGTGCCTCCGTTCGTTGATGTGCAAATGATGCTCAAGCGCCCCGATTGTTTTTCCTAGGCATTTATGATGATAATACTTTCTTTCGTTTCGTAGATGAGCTTCATGACAACTAAAGGCTTCGACAAATCGGACAGTACCCTCTTCATGATGGTGCTAGCCATTGCAGAGGTCGTGGGCAAGGTCATCATCGCGGCCGTTGCCGACAGCCTGCCGTTCCCGAAGCTCTACCTGTTTGTCTTGGCTAGCCTCCTCGGCGTCGTCGTCATGGTGGTGCTCCTTTTCGCCACTTCACTCGGGCTGATGCTCGGCCTTGCAGTCGGTAAGTGAACGGCCGGTATTGGAGACTGTAGTGGAATCGATTTCAGAATGTGAATAGCCGTATACTCAACGTACACATAGAAAAGCCACAAAAAATTTTAAAGTACTTGTCAGAAATTCATGCAAGGAGATGGGGAACCTGCCAAGTGGCAGTTTTTGCCCCCCCCCCGCAACGAGACTCTTCTGACTACGGTGCTGTGGTAGAGCAAGCACATCAACAAGAGGATGATGTCATGTATTTGGAATGTTCTTAATGCCAATTTTATACTCATTTCCACGATTTTCTTTTTGTTTCCTCCTCTCATTTCAGCCTCTCTTATATACTAACCCCTCTTTTCCCCACAGTTTGTGGACTGCTCGTCATGTCGGTCTTCGACACCTTGCCGTTCTCCATCTGTGTGGAGGTATTCGGCTCGACCAGGGGGTTGGACACGTCCTCGGTTGTCATCATCATGAATGGCGTGGGCCTCATCCTCGGCTCCTTACTCGGTGAGGACACGTTGCGTCTCTGCACGGGATTTGGGATCTTTGTAGTGGATGAACTGAGCCTTATTTGTCGAAAAAATGTTGACAAAATTCGCTTCCGTGAATCCAAATTTAACAATGAATGGTCGGTTGTACTGGAACAAACGTTTGTCCAATTTCGGGCGAATTGCTGAAAAGGGCAGACAGTCGAAAACGAGCAAAGTCGAGTGTTTGAATTAGATAAGCTACTATGGATGGTGTAAAAAGATTCGCATGACAACAAACTTGCAATGACTTCCTCCCTTGTCTCCAGGCATGAGCGTTGACCGCACAGGCAACTACGACTCTGCCATCTTTGCCAGCGTCGGCATCTACTGCTTCTCCATCTTGCTCTTCCTCGCTGTGCCCATCTACCAGAGGCTCTTCGCCAAGGAGCGGTACGTCATGGTCCGGAACAGACGCAAAGCCCTCCTCCTGGTGGCAGACGGACCGGAGCGGACCTTTGCCCCGTCGCTGCTCCCCTCGCCAGAGTACATTTACCTGGACATCGTCAGTGTCGTATAACAGGGCGCAGGAATAACGGACAACAGATTTAGAGAGACTAAACATTTTTTTAATCGGCAATGAATTTTTAGGTGTATGCGTACGCGTGTGTGAAAAGGGAGAAAAGGATGTGGTCAAATTTTCTTCTCGGACCGTAAAATGGTGTCGCTGGAAATTTGGAGAGTGCTTAAACAATAAGAGTGTGAATAATGCTACATATTGTGGAAAGTAAAAGCGGTTGCAGAATACGGGCTATTCGCAATAGTGCGCCTCCAAGAGTTTGCAACGCGTTAACCAATCACAGAGTGCGAAGTCTGTCGACCCTTCCCACATGCGCATTGGGTCGACAGATTTCGTGCAATGTGATTGGTCAACGCGTTGCAAACTCGTGAAGGCGCACTATTGTGAAACGCCCGTATACGGTATGGTGTGAGTGTTGTGAATAAAATACGGGAGGCAATGAGAGGTTTCCAAAGAAAGAATAGAAGGTACGGTGTACTTGTTGAGACGCTATAAAAACACATTACGAGGCCAAAATGAAGCTGGTGTTGATACTATTGGAGATTGGTACAAATTTGACAGAAACAACCAGTAAGTGTGCCTCAGTTGGAGACAGAAACACTTTGCTGAATTTCACACACGAACCTTGCCATACTTAAACTTGTTCATGAAGCTGTGAAGCCCTCGATGAGAATGTGTGTTGCGCAGTTGATAGTTATGTGTGTGTGGAAGTACAATGATTTTTTTCAAATGACTGCTTGGGTTTTTCACGCTGGCTGCTATTTTGTTGGATTTTAATTTGACAAAGCACTAACAAATGAGTGCTTAAATTCCATTAAATATTAAAAAACTCAAGATTTTGAGGTGCGGGATTTTCTTCTGCGTGTTTGCTCTAAAAGGATAAATTTTGGATGGATCTGCACACGAGAAAAGAGGAAAGCAGTCAGTTATTCAAAAGAAATGGATGCAGATGGTTGCATGCTAAAGTGGAAAGACGAACTCATCTTGGTGCAGCTTATCCTACATAGGCATATTAATTTTTTTAAAATATATTTATTGTTTCAGTGAAAAGAGTTTTTTGTAGTTCTGTACAAGTTGAAGAAGGAGAAAAATAACTGTAATATCACTTCAAATCATTTCAATTATAGCTTAAGTGCGCTGTGTGTAACTGGATGTGAGGTTACACATTGTCACGCTTTCCAAAATGACTTTCATTTGTTGTTAATGGCGTGTTGTGTAAAACTTGTCAACAGTTTGCCAATATGGTTGAATACTTGGAATGAACCAAAAAGTGAATTTATCAATGCTTGAAAATGAAGGTTTTATAAACAAAAATTCTCAGACACTCTATTATCGACCTATGAATGTTGTACGTCTGTGCTGTCCGTTAATTCATTTTAAAATATTGTTTATGTCCTTTTTATAAACTGTTAAAGAAACCTTTTGTGGTTTTGAAAGCAGAGCCCCACGCAAAATATTATTGGCAACAGAATGCAACTTTGTATTATATATTTATTTTTTGGATTCCTGCATTCTGCAGATATAATAACGCTATCAACTCTTTGCTCCGATTTTCGAAACCATTTCGTGTAATTTGTCTGGAGGATGAATTTGTTTGGAAGTATTTTCATATGCTCTTTGCTTCAACTTCCATTAAAGCCCGATGGTATTTTGCGTGGAGCCCTGACAAAAGTATTAAAGCTGTGGTACTTCTCTTTGATATTTTGTAAATAAAAGAGATATTTATTTATATTTCTGTGTGTGTTTTGCATACTTTGGTGATGACTCTGTAACCTGGTGATACACGTTTAGAGTACCAGGGAGGTGTCGTGTTGATAAGCCCCAGGGACGAGAGTGGCGGAGGCAGCCCAACTTGCACTTTCTCGCTTTCGAAGTTGCGCCATGTGCACTTACTTACGATTGGCCCAGAACTGAACTTGAGAAACCAGCAGGAGAGCGGGGTTTGGCAGCTGGGTTGGGGGTCGTTCAAGGTGGGTCACCGCTGTGCAGAGTACTACCATGACAAGCACTGTTCTCATATACGGTGCCATTTCTAGTTGAGTGACACCTCTGCCACAAACAGTGGAATCGTATTTTAAAAAATATACGCCTTCAGTTCATAGTATGCCGGAAAATATGAATTTTTCTTTCTTTTTTTTCATAAGCCTTACTTTTCTATAACCATCTTCGAAAGATCACAACGGTGGCCAGTTGAAGTACGAAGCGGAAAGAGTATATTTCAGAAACAATCTTTACAGACTTCAGAGATGATTACTTGAATATGAAATTGCCGAGGCGACGATGTGGTCGTTCATTCTCAGCCACAAGGTGGCGCTGCCAGCTGAAAAGTACGTTTGGGAGGATTCTTCAATGGATACTTCCGCTCATGGCTGGTTAACCTCAAAAATTGAGCCTTCACACGGTGCTGATGAATGGACCAAGGCGATTTTGTCTCTTGATCATGAATACGAACAATAGCAAATAAATGTGATCTGGCATACTTCGTCACCGTTTTCACGAAAGGACACACATGTATTATAAAGGAAAAAGCTTGCACTATAACACTGCGCTGAACTTCGGCGAAGTCCGACGGACGTCATGATTGTCTCCCATGATCTGATGGCTCGCGAGCAAGGTGTCTGAGTTCTACACAGGCTTCCAAAATTACGGCTACGTCTATTGAATGCGCTCCACGTATTTCTAATTGGCGAAGACCGAGAACTAGCTAGTTTCTATGCAATCTTTGGAGTCTCGGACTTGGACGCAGCTGTAACCTTGCTCATTAATCTGAATACTACTGGCAGCTGCAGGTGCGTTGGAAACGTGACCGGGTCACGTTCTTTCCCACGCATGCTCTGAGAAGCGCCCGGTATCCAAGTCTCCTGAATTTATTTTCTAACGTGTAGTTCATGCTGAGGAATATCAGTCCTGTATGCTCAAGTCAACCGAGCCTATTGTATGTTGATGAGAGGTAAAAGTAGTTATTGCACTAATATCTGTATTTAGACTATGTATAAAAGTAAATACATGGTCCCCTCTATGCGCGTTACCTCATATACATTTCAGTTGATGCATGGTTGATGTATGACCTTGAAAAGCTTTCATGATGAATCGCACGGAGTCTGTGCTTACACTTGTTTACACTGTGTAATTTTAAAAGGAGCAGGGGTCTACCATTATTTGTAGAATCAATACCATGGAGGAAGGAAACCTCCGTGATTTTCGTTGAGGGAGTCCAATTAGTTCCTAAAGTGGGAAACCCAAGTGTGTTTACTGCGCGCACGACCTGTACTATCGACCATCAGTTGGGGAAGTCCCGTATTTTGTGGTCCCAGCTGCAAGCGTAAAAAATGTATAATGTCACATCTAAATAAAAACGCACCGGATAAAACCAGTTTTGGTCCGCTTCCATTGATTGGCAGGAGGGATCTTCAAACACTAAGTGTACTTATTTTTAAATGTGGACTCGCTTTAGTCAGGTTCACATAATAATTGGTTACTGTTATTAACAAAGTGTGATTACGTGGATAAATAGGAAAGGGGAACTGTCGTTGCGTGTTTGTTAGATTGAATACAAGCTACTTGTATTTTATTCCGCCCCCTTTTTCCAAAATGAATCGGTCTAATCGAGCAGCTGGACAAGTGGTATCGGCCGGCCGGCAAGGACCGGCCAGTACAGTGTGCGTGTACGTACGCGTGACTTTAGCTTTCACCTTTTGTGACATTACAAAAGCGCAAGCGCATTCAAATAACGGGACATATTTAATTTCTCTCGGAGTCGTCAGGGGAAAATTATCTGACGAAGAAGATTTAAGCTCAGAGAATGGAGAAAGATTTCCTCACTTTTGAACTAAGAACAAAGAATTTCAAGCCGCCCGGTAGAACTTTAATGTACACTTTTCACTCATAACCTTGAAGAAGACAGCAGGCCAGCGGACGAGCGGGGGAAAAATGACGGAGAAATTGTACACAAGATTGGCGGTCGCCGAAGGAGCTAGCACGGCAGATGGTGAGCAGACGAAGGCGACCGACGACCAAGCTGCAACCGAAAGTACAAAGGGCAGGCTCGGGAGATGGCGGCTCGTCTTTGGCAAAATCCGCCGGCCTAGCTGGAAATGGGTGATTCTTGTTGGTGCCTTTTTCCTCAGAGCAACCTTCATCGGCATCCTGGCTAACTACACCACCCTTTCTGTGAAACTGCGTGATTTTTACGGAACGAATGAAGAAATCATAGGTTTGTTGGACAGTTGGAATTTTTCCAAGCTTAGGCCCTACCTTCAAATTACTGGGAGCTTTTTTGCACATCAATACTAGCAATACTATTACTAGGCTATTACTCATGACATGTTGTATGTCTGGAAATCCCTATCGTGAATTTCCAGATGTCAAGTGAACATTATGATTACCTAGTATGAGCCACGGTTAGCTATGATAGCTATTTTCGGTGAGAACTTAACATGCTTAAAGAAGAGTTCTACATGCACGGGCCTAGGCTTTCCCATGCAGTAGTTTATTAGCCACTAGAAGGTGATAACATGTCCTGAAAAGAGAAAATGTTGAATAATTTACTTAGAAAACACAATTTTTTAGACCAGTCTCATACTATGAGTGTAGGGTTTGTGCACGTGCGTAGGGTGTCACTGTCAAGTGATGTTTGTATTTTCCTTCCTCCATTGTATATGGAATTCTCCCCTATTTCTCTAAAATATCCGTCTTTAAAGTACAGGTAAATAAAGGTAGGCCTAGGCCCTAGTTCTGTGTTCCTAAACAAAACAAAAAAAAATGAAAATTGAGATGAGTATTCATTGTCATTGCAAAACTATTGGCCTAATCCATGGCTTAGAATTTTTTATGGAAGAAATTTTTTAAGATGAAGAATGAAAGTTTCAAAGGTGTTTGGTTGGAGCTTTTCTAGACCCATGAAAACTTGTACCAGTTGTGCCACGTCCGGGGACCAGTCTCTAGTCATGTCTGGACTATTCAGCCAAGCCACTTCCAGCTTTGTTCATTTTGCATTGTTATTATTCAAATGAGAAAGGTACAGATTGCCATCCCTTTGGACTTCCTGTTATGCATGATTACCCAAGGGGTACCATACGGCCTGTTCTACTTTGGTTCAGGCATTTTGCATATTGGTAGCTTTGGCAGTTCAGATCTAGTAGCACACATGATGCATTGCATTCGAAAGCTGTTCTCTACGTTGAAAAGAGAGTTTCTGTTGCTTTGTATCCAAGTTACATGTATGTGGTCGGCCCTGATCTGTTCTGGAGAGAATGGTCAGTCCAGAGTGTGAAGACTTGCTGTGTCCTGTTGAATACATGACCTTGTGTGTCTTGTCCATTGTGCCATCCTATCCCTTGCTAGATTTGAAAGGCTTGGCTGTTTAGATGTAATTACGCCTCTTCAAGCCCCCACCTCTGGTATCATGTTGGGCTCTGCTGAATATTCGATTGATTATTGAATATTTGAATATTATTTTCCACACTTGAATATTCAAATGCAAAATTCATGAAAAGGAAGGGAGAATTTCCTTTTGTTTTAATTGAGAAAAATTGCACTATGGAGGCTTGTTTCAAGCAGATTCAAGTGAAAAGCGTCAGAAATCTGATGACTCAAAAAGTAACTTAGTCAATAGCCCTAAAAGTCCCAAATCCTCTGATTTCAATATAAGTTTTACCTACACATCCCCAAAGGGATTAGGGTTAAAAATTTTGAAAGGAATAGAAATTTTCAAGAGGGCAAGAAGTAGTGTTTGTCCCTTAAATCTTGCTAAATTGTGGCTGGAGATGCTTCCAGACGTAAGAAGCTATTATAATGATTATAATGTACAATTGTGTGCATTTGCAACTGATTTTGTATACGTATGATTTAACCATCAACAATCTTCCGGTCAGTAAGACCAAAATTTGGATATTTGATCGAATTTAAGTTCGAATATTCAAAAAGTGAATTATTTGAATTGACTCAGCCCTAGTATTATGGCCTAGTATTGTGCAACTTTTTTGGCAGTTCCAAACATGGAGTCTCACATGATTAGTTCCAGTAGCATTTAAATTGTTAAGGACTCTGTTAATTTCTTGCATTTAATGTAATTTGACAATAAAAATAAAAGAATAGTCCAAATCTATTGAGAGTATGAGTGCTGTGCGTGGACGTGGAGAGGACATATCAAAATCAAGAAAACCCTATACAACCATAATTTATGGGAAGGACTGCAGCTTTCTTAAGCATTATATGCTTATAATCCAACTTATTGTATACAAGACGGTTGAAAACTGTCATATAACGTCAATTTAACCCTGCATGGGCCATCCCCTTCAAGAAATCTGCAGTTTTCCTATAGGCCTTAAGTATGGTTGAATTTGGGTTTCCTTTATTTTGGTATAGCCTGTACATGTACTTTGGATGGGGACTGTAGTTTTAGGAGAAAATTCCTTGAAACCATTATTCAAAAAGCAAAGTCAGGCTAGTATACAGTGTGTGAAATCGTGAGTTCATCAGTAAGAATAATTTCATAAGATGGAGTGAAACATTCCATCTGTCCCGCAATGAAATTGCAAGGTAGCCAATCTATGCCTTTCCATTGTATGGAAATGAAACATCCACTGTCAGTTTGTTGCTGCCTGCATAAATTCTGAAAAAAAATCTGCATCACTTCAATAAATCTCTGGCTGAAACAACCCTGGTATTATGTAGCACTTCAGAAATTTCTTGTGATCGTGGATGACCATTTTGGGTTTATTTGGCAGTCAGTTGCAGTAGGGTATATTTCTAGGTTTGGAAACCAATGTTATGGGCCACTTTCTTTCCTGATTCATCCTGCTCCAGGTTGGGTGGGGTCTTTGACTTTAAGCGTGAGAAGTCTGTCCTCCCTGCTGACTGCTGCCATCGCCGTGAAGATTGGCTACCGCAGCACCGTTTTCCTCGGGGTGCTGTTGGGGGCCATCTCCCTGATGTTGTCGTCGTTTGTCCCAGGGGTCCGCTGGTACTTCCTGACATTCAGCGTGCTGCTGGGCGTGGCTACGTCACTGACGACATTCACAGCCTATGACTACGTGATGAGCTACTTCCACAAGAGAAGCGTGCAGGCCTCAGGCTTACTGGCCATTGCATCCAGTGCAGGTAAGGCATGGCTCATGCAATGCCACATTGTATGTTTGTAAGAAAGAGAGGAAACTGGTTTCAGTTCCGGTGGAGTACTGCATATTCTCATCAGGGTCGATAGGCAAATGAAATATTTTCAAGCTGAAACTTCTGAACTAACGTTAGACTGTTGGTGACCATGCGATCTACAGTTCAAATGTCTTCAACTCTCTTTAAATGTCCACATATTGCTATGGCCAATAATTGTGCTCATAGCTCTGGAAGTGGCAGCCATCTTGAAATTAAAATAACATTTTGCTGAACCACCAAAAATGGATTTTTGTGCACAACACGAAGGTTTTATGTCAGTGGCCACCTTAATGCGATTGTCAGTAAAAGGATATTGTTTCCCCACAGAAAACTTCCCCCTCTTCCTAAAAAGAAATTTGGTTACCTCTCAGCATTCCTCCAGTTCTTGCCCTTATCACCTCAAAGACCTGTGTGCCCTGCAAATTTCTGCTTGCATGTAATTGGTCCCTTTGTCCATGGGTGAGCCCTTGACATGCATGTTGGCATACATGTACATGTATGCATAGGCCTCAAATTTCACCACGGCCGTGGCGGTCGATGCCCTTTCATTTGGCTGCGGTGCCTTGAAAATGGCACTCTGTCCGCGGCCAAAAATGGCCGTCTGCCCCTTTCATCTCGGCTGTGGTGCCCCCTGAAACTGTACCTTTTTTTTCCCGTAAGTTGCCGATCTTAAATCCACGCAAAGAATTAGTTTTGTGGTGCGGCCGAACGATGGACAATCATCTTCGCGCTACAAGCTTCACAAAATTCACTTCACACAAAGTCGCATCCATTCCATAACGGTCATGCTGTACAGGGCTACGTCTGCATATTACAACGTACGTAATCCAGCCATAGCCGATAAATTTTCAGAAAGCGAAACACAAGAGGGCGCTATGTCACGCAGAGCCAGAGATGTGCCCACGACTCATAAGTAAAGCATGTGAGACATGTAGGATTTATCCAAAGACGAGGCAATTCTATTTCTTTTGCATTTTAAAACTTGTTAACAGCTTTGCTTTTTTATTCTTCGGACAGAGGAGATGAGGTGATTCCCCCTCTCCAGATCTGTTCTTGTCACTTCACAGGAGTTTTAAGGCGATTCTTTATTTGAAGGCCGCAAAACAGTGTTTGGCCTTGGTGCCTTTCCTTTACCCAAAAAATGGCCTCGTTGCCCATGCTTTTGGCCACGGTGCCCCTTAAAATGTCCATTAACCTGAGGCCAAAATGGCAGTGCCCTAAAATCATTGAAATTTGAGGCCTGTATGCATACATGTAGGCATATGCATGGGGATGTCACAGAATATCATCCACAGTGATCAATGCTGAGCAGCCCTTGGAGTTAAACTGTTGCTTGTGGGAATGTGCCCTCTAACAGGTGGTTTGACAATCTTGCACCTCTGCCCATACTGAAAGTGGCTGAGACTCGAAATACGGCCTGCTCATCCATGGCACTCTCTTGATACAGTTAAGCAAAGTGTTCAATAACCCTAACACTCCTCAGTTCTCCAACAGGTGAAGCATTGAGGAGTGTTAGGGATAATGAAGAGGCTGAAGATTAAGCTTCTGTCAACTTTTTCAACAGGCCTGATGATAATTGCCCCATTGATGGAGTCGCTCCTGGAGTCCATTGGCCTCCACAATACCCTGCGTGCCTTTGCCGGGGTCGTTCTCCTCAGCGCCCTCTCGACATTTACCTTCCGCCCGTCCCCGGCTGAGAAACGCCGCATGTCTGTCATCCAAGTCCCACCAACTGCCCTTGACCAGGATACATGTAATTGGGCCCCCGCTGAGCCAGCTGCCCCGTGGAAGCCCCCGGTCCACGCCAAGAAAACATTCAGGGAGAGCATGGCAGTGTTCTCCAGGATCCTGCGCTCACCAGATATGTGGATCTTGGGCGTTGTTGGCCTTACGCTCTGCCTTGCCTCGACGTTCACCTATCTCAATATGGTAGGTAGCTATTTCCTGGTTCATTGCTGTTCTCTGTACTGTTCGTCAACGTTGTTTTTGTTTTGTGTATTTGGTCATTTTTTTTTTTGTGATTACAAACCATTTCAGTGGCATCCCACATTGTCGTTGATCATGCAACGCTCATTCCCATTGCGTTCACAGCTACTATTTTGATTCATTCATGCCAACAGTAGTAGTCGTACGAGCACTCGGGCAAAATTGAGGGGAAAAATAGTATGTGACTCTGAATGAAATGGTTGTGATGGGGAAGCGATATGTCTCAGAAACATTTTTTCTCAATTTTGTTAAAGTGCCCGGGCGACGGCAAAAGATCAAATTTACATCGAATAATGTGGGATTTGTTATGGTTGCGTGTGAATTTGTTCATTTTCCTCCTCCAAAGATTGTTCTGTGAAACAGAAGTACTAGTTCAAAAAAGCGGAAAACAAACTACCCTTTCATCAGAAGGGAAGGTTTGTAGCCCCCTTGTTTAACAGAGAGGTGCCCTTGCACCCAAACAATCTTAATGTCAACTTTGTTAATTGCAAAACTGAAGATTGCATGTTGCGAAGAGGTATGCGTACAGGTCGACTTGTGGAACATACTTTTGGGTTTTGAAAGTTGCGGTTCTTAAAATCATAAAAATTAAATATCTCAGTACATTTACTGTGGTTGTCTGCTGAGTAGATCACATTTTTTTCGGCTTGGCCATTAATTTGCTGGTGTTGGGAAGAACTTCAAAACTCCAAAGCCACCAAGGGCAAAACAGCTTTCACACGTCCACCAGTATGCAAGTGGGTTGTTTCAAGCCCTTATTGAAATAAAATTGCATTGAGTCTGAGGATTTCTGTTTCACTGCATAGCCTGATCTGTCTTGCCCAGTAAACCGTAAGCCTGCAGCCAGTGTGAGAATGCTGAGCACAGATATGCAAATCAGGGATGAGATTCTTCCGCTTTTTGGCAGATTTCTGCTTTTGGGACTTTGAAAATTCGCTTTTGCAAATAAGTTCCGCCTTTTTGGACTGTCGGATACGCTGATAGTCAACTTAGAAATTCTGATATTTTGAACTTTTCCGATCCATTTCATCAAGATAATTTTCGACTTCCAGGTATGTGATACACCCCCTATGATAATATTGCCATGCAAAGCCACTGCCCCTGGTACCCTGAATACTTTTGTGCCTTGTCACAGAAAACTATACCGTTTGTGTTGTTGAACGGATATTTCGTATCATTACATTTCTATCATAATGTCTGCCCGTAAAGACATCATTCATCAAGAAGAAGGCAAGGTGAAGCACATCAACAAAGGGATTAAAATTCCTGATGACGGGAGTAGGTTGAGGCCAAAATAGGAGGAGTGTTCTTGTCTGAATTTATTCGGAAATTTTGCTAAACCTGGTAAGGCAGTTGTGCCATGTAATGTTAGAAATCAATTATGCTTTCCGGGGCAAAAAAACCTTAACAGCACGTGCAGAATTGTTGAAATACAACAGCGAACTCTAGATATGTAAAACGAATTATTGTCTATCAGGTACATGTATTCGTGAACATAATCGACATGTATTTTGAAGCACATGACAAACCATAAGTGATGAACAAAACTGTGGTGGGTCTTTACATGTGTAACACATATCAAGTTAACATATAATAAAAAGGTTAAGCTAGGTATGGACTTTCACAAATGTTTCTATTGTAAAATGTGTCCCAGAGAGGCTTATCAATACATTGCACCACAGATCATCTGAAGTTGAACATTTTCCTGGGGCCCGTGTGCCGTAAAGGGCGCCACGCTGCGCGCTCGCAAATTTCAGCTTTTTTCATTTTCTGAGAATCTCATCCCTGGCAAATGAGGACTCCATGAATATCATTGGACGGCCTCATTAGCATAATCCTTGACTAATGAAATGTGAAAAATTACTTTGTGGTACATTTACATATAATTGGTTTTCGGTTATACTGGGCACGAATTGAACAGGTGTTTCTTTGAAGTGTTTTGGGGATGGAAAAATGATTTGAAATTAGAACTGCAACTGGAGGTTTCTGTTTGGTGAGTACCAGTTAACATCAGCTCCTTAACTGTTCCGCTCTCCTTCTGTTCTTGGAAAGCTGAACAGTTAACGGGAGTGAATGTGATTGACACTGATTCGTGTTTCAACTGGAAAAGTGGATTGAATGGTTTCAGTATTAAAATATATGTGTGAAACACACTCAAAATATGCAGTAAGCAGAGGTAACGGGGAGAAATGTTTGTCGGTATCAAAGCATGAAATCTTCAGAAAGCAAGAATGTGGCTTTTTGACAACAAGAAAGACTTGGTTAATCTGTGAATATATGTGAAGTTCAGGAAAATTGTGCTAAGGTTACTTCCTGTGACCTGTTTATTTTGGGTGTGTTCTGATGTTAGAAGTGATAATTCATGTATATTCCAAACACAAGTTTGGTATTTCATTTGGCCAACATGCCTTAAAGGTCTTCACAATGCAATCACCGTAAATACTGACCAGCAGTGTTGAATAATCCCCTTTCCACAATTTCAAAGGATTTTCATCTCAGGCCACGAAGGTGCGTTTACACAGTATTTGACCAACGTATCAAATCCAAGCACCTACTGAAGTTGAAAATGGCTCTTTGGTAATTGCTAGAAGCCTCGTCCCCCAGTTTGTGCTGCGAAGAAGCTGGCAGGAATTCAATTCGTTTGTCGGATTCAGTAATTGCAGAGTTGTTAAAAGCCTGAATGGTGACAATTTATTGCAATTTTTCTCTGCAGAGTTCCAGTTTTGCTTGGACTAGAAACTGAAAAATACACAAGGGTCATTTGACACTTTTTATTAGAACGTAATTATTTTACCGAAACCATTTGCAAAGAGGTCAAAAAGTGTAGAGATCAGCACCGAATACAGAACATTTTCAGATTTTGCCCCTGAAATGTTTTAACTAGCATTTCAAATTCAAAAGATCCAAATGTCAACATTTTCCAAATTACATGTCAGCACTCATAAAGGCTACATTTCTCATTAGTTTATTTATAAATGACTCCCTCAAAAAGATGGAATTCATTCATTTCTCCTGAAATACATATTGGTTGAAATGATTGGCAAGAGTAATAGAGCCTATTGAAATTGAGAAAAAAAATCTGACCCTTAAACCGATGTCTGGGTAACCTTTCAAAGAGACATGTATTCTGTCTGAACACTTTCCAAGTGTATTTGAACCCAGAGAGATTGCAGTGTAACGAGTTGGTATTCAGGCTTTATGTGTATTATAGCAGTCCAGTGATTCTTCAAAATGTGGGCAGTTTGTAACGGGGAGTTGGCCCCTCTTTGAACTCCACTTTTTGGGTTTTTTTTTTAAACATGGCCTCGAGCACGAGTGGGGTTCATCCTGACTGAAAAAAAAAGAGTCATGGGAAATTAAAAAACATCCCAGGCGCACAAGAAGTTTTTGAGTGACACATTCTCTTCGACCACAGGTGGAATCTCAGGTTCGTCTCAAAATTGGAAGCAGACACATTTGACAAGTGACTTGCAGTTCTGGAGAACCCCAAGGGACCCTTTGAATTACACTTTGCCTCTCAGCAGTATCACGGCATATGGACAATTGTCTTTGTGCCTCCTGTAATGAGGGCATAGTTTGCTTTTTTACAGTTGATGGTAAAATGGGAAGCCACAGACTCAAGCCATGTGTATGTTTTCATTCACATGTACATTGGATCTCATTCACGACAGATGCTCCGCTTCCACACTGGCACCAGGCCATTTAGCCTAAAGTACCATTATTTTGCATTAACTGCAGCTTTGTGCACATTGCAAGGCCAGGAAACTAAATTGTGTCATCCACTGAGAAGATATCATGGTTGAAGAGAGCAGTGTCTCATGAGTGCCAGATGACAAAAAAATAAAATGTATTCACCAAGCTTGTCCAACTTCAAAGGTAGATTTGTAGCACTTGAAACAGTGTTTGCTCAATGGTGTCCTACAGTGCCAAGGCTCAACTTTTAAATGCAGTCAAAATTCTATCCAAACAGTTAAGACTTTCAAGGCATTTGTGTGACTTGGGGGCAGTTTTGTGATGCAAATTGGCCAAGATTTGGACAAGCCTGGTGGTGGGCAGCAAAAGTTGGAAACCATGCCTGAAAAAGCATGCAGCATTCCCCTCCCAGAAAGGAAGCAAGAAGGTGTCAAAAGAACCCCAAATGAGATACATTTTAAGCTCCGTGTACATTTGTACATGGGTCAGTGGCTAGTAGCAAGCTGTCTGATTTTCTTTGAATGTATCCTCCATGAAAGCAAATTAACAAATGAAACGGCATGCTTTGACTCGGCCAAACATTCCAGGTTTTTGTGGCCCACAGCCAGAGACTAGTTGTCGCTGTGAAACATGGAAGTGACGCAACATGTTTGAGAAGTTGCATCTGCCTAAGAGTTGTTCATCACAACTGATTGTTTTCCTGCTGGCTTGTCGGAAACAGCACAACTCTGGCCGGAGCTGCGGAGTGTCAGTCACAGAGTGGTGGTTGTATTGGAGCAGAGAGCATTGTTGGCCAAAATCATGACAAAATTTTGTTTGTTGGAGAGAAACTCCGTTTGCCACCTTATTCAGGGAAATGCAGTGCACTGCAACTTTCAGTTGTCTAAATATTTGATATCTACATGAACAAGCTTGAAAACTAACGAGGGGTGGGGAATTAAAAATAATTGAAAATTGCATTGCGCTTGCTGCTCCCCAGGTGACATATGGTTGTTGTAAACTAACTCCCAGCAATATAAAGAGAAACAGTTCAAATGTTAATGGGTATGAAAAAATAACTCCCAAAATAGCAAACCATTCTTTCCCACATTTGTTGTCAACTAAGAACGAGATGTTTAAAAAATCAAATGAAATGTGGATTGTTACATGTATTGTGTTTGAGGAATTCTGTAGCGCTTTGGCTAGCGCTTTCACACTTGATTTAATTTTACGACTATGCAGGTTAGCTTTCTGAATACCCTGGGTTTAAGCGTGAAGACCAGTGCCTTCACGCTGAGCATGATGGGCGTAGGAGAGTTTGTGGGCACAGCTCTGTCCACACTCCTCGGCGACCGCGTTCCCCTCTTAAAGATGGAGGTGCTTGCGATCGTTTCTCTTGTGGCTGCCATGGTGACGGCTGCCCTGACTGTGGTAACCGTCTATCCTGGAGTGCTTACTCTTGTAATAGGTAAAAAAAAAATCAACAAAATGTGCCAAAAGAATGGTAAAGGTTGCATTAATAGGTTGCTTATACTATGCCCGCACTGTATGTAGCTGTTAGCATCTTCCCACCCCCATTTTGCCATTCTCTTTTATGCATTATTGGTTATTGATGTGATTGGATAGCTGCCAAAGGTTGTAATGTGGTTTTGGTTCTGGACTGAATGTTTTTTGGGGGAGGCTGAGACGGAATCACAAAGCTGACCTGGGGGGGTTGGTTCTGATTAGTTTTCTCACAGCTTCTAGAATTCTGTACTGTTTCATTTGACAAGCAGAGGGTTGTACAGTGTACATGTACATGTATATGTATGAATATTCCATCATGATGAACAGTAGACCTGATAATTCTATAATATGTAATTTTGTGTTCATGGTCATCTCAGTACATATGTACTTTGCCACCCCTGATATACTCAAATTGTCGTTACTAATAACCTTTCAGCGTTTCCCCTTTTACTGCCCTCTGTGGTTTCTCCCTGGTGAAAAAGTGAAAGGTCAACCAACTGTGTGAACAATGTTATCTTCTGTGAAACAAACAAATCAGATAGCGCCTTGTATCCTGATCAGGGTAGCGATACATTTGTTCAGAAGACCTTGTCAATTTGCACTTTGATCAAATAACAGCAACTCAAGCCCTTGAAGTTGAACAATAGGCAGCATGGATTATATGATTCAAGCCATTGCAAGAAGTCTGGCATTAGTTTATTTAAGGCCGCCACTTCCTCATATTGCCACCTGTTGCACAATTACTGTCCAGCAGTTACAGATATTGAGGAACGTGAAGCACAAATAACAAACAAGGGATTCAACCCCCTTTGTTTCCTTGTTTGGGCTCGTTAGCGATAAACCAGACATGCTCTTAAAGCCTATTCTCATCAGTCAAATGTAGTTAATTCATTTAGCTCAGGTTAATTAATCCACCTAGTATTATATATTCCTCAAATCCCCTGATGCTGTCAAAGAAATTGAAGTTCAGTTTTGCTGATGATATTCAATTGGAAATAGGTTGAATTAATTGAATGTTGCCTTCAGTACTGCTGTTGTGTTACAAATTTGCCTAAAGGCTAGTTCATACCTCAAGTGAACAGTGAAATGTCAATAGATATACAGGAAATCTATTCACACATATCTACGCACTCCTGGATGCATGCAATATGGGATCTTCAGTTGTACCATATACCCACTACACTTTCAACCTGAACGTTTATAACATGTACATTAGTGTTTAAAGTTCCGTCGAGCCTGTTTCTTTGGGATATTACATGAAGGCAGAGAATGAATTTATCTAGCTACAAACAATCCAGGCAATCCCATTATGCAATCCGGGGAGGTGTCATAATAGTGCACAGGCCAGGGTACATGTACACCGTATCATGAGAAGAATTCATACAGAACAATAGAGGGAGCTTCTCTGAGTAATTTCAATGTACTGGTATCAGGGATAGTATATATGATTCCTAACTCCCTTTTTATTTTATTGGAACTTGTTGCAGTTTCGTTTGTGCATTTTCATAAATTTCAAAATTACTTTGGAGGAGGCACGGGGCCCATTGATGAGAAGCTCTTGGGTCAAAATTTAGTCAGTGTTGTTGAGTTCTGACAGGAAGCCCTCACAATTTCATCATCTAGTCTCAGGTCAAAAGCCTGATCTAGTGAACTGCAACAAGTCTTATTCCTTTGTTGTGACTTGACTAACAGAATTAGATACGTTTTACTTATATGAACCCAAATACAACTCTTGAATAATTGTCCACCAAATTGAAGGTCATCACACTTGTGATTCACAAAGTAAGGCTTGCGTTATGATGTACCGATAGACTTCTTATGTACAGTACATGTATGTTTTTACTTTGTACATGTACATGTACTATTCTGTTCTTCTGAGTTTGTTTGGTTTCTGCAGCTGTCATCTTGCAAACAGCTAAGCTGGCGTCTGTTGACCTTTTGTTCACTTCTCACAATAAAGGCCCAGTTTTCACAAAAACATCCACTATGTGCCTCTGAACCCAACCAACAACAGTGACCAAAAGCCTCGAGTGGCCGCTACTCCATGTAGTGATGGCAAAACGTGATTGTAGGTTTTTATTACCTACCTGTAAGCGGCTGGCACTGGTCTTGCATGATTGACTGAATTCCCTGAGTCAGTCACTGATGTTACAGTTTGCTTTTGACTGAACTGGAAGTCCCTCTTGCTTGTGCTTTTTAAAGTAGCAAGTTCCACATAAAAAGTGGAATTTCCTGTACTGTGGGGTTTTGCAGTTTTCATTTGTTCTTGAATGGCCCTGGTGCCAACATCAGTCAAGGAAATTTTAAATTTTTTTGAAGAATCTAACTGAATGATGTACACACACTTTGAACAGAAGTGAAAAAGTGTAGATGCTTTGAAATTCCACAACTAGCATCCAGATGCAGCACCGATTCAAAAATTGTGCCAGCTGGGTAAAGCTTTTTTTAAAAATTCTTTTTCTAGTCTTAAGGTTTTAGCAAAACATGGCCACTCATGGGTACATGCACTACATGGCAGAGGTACTTAAGCTGCTGGTTTTGTGAATGGGGTCAGATTTTTTAACTAACATTCTGATGTCAGTATGGTAAAGAAGTAGTTGCCTGGAGTGGAAATAAATGGGCACTGCATGGTTTCATAGTTCATCTGGGCTGTTTAGCAGGCTTATTGGCAAGTACGTCTTGAATCAAGTCAGCCAAATGACATAAACAAAGTACACGTACTAGTAAATGTAGAAACCTTAGCTTCAAGGTAAAGACTTGTTGGTATTTATGCTTGACATTAGAGCCACAATTTTTTTTCAGAACACCACGTCTAAGCACCTTGTCTCTGAGAATTTGTTCTCTATCCCTCCACAATTTTGGCAATGTTTTTAAGGATCACCCCAGAGGCGTAGGCAAGGGTACATAAATACAGTTGAGGCAAAAGGTTTACATACACCTGGTAGAACAAAAACAGTTTTCGTCAAATTTCACAACGTTGCTCATTTCTGCCAACCTTTCATGAGGACAGATAAGATGGGTCTCCACTTAATGTATATGGTGTATGCGTCAAATAAAACACCCAGAGATACATGATTCACATTTACATTTACAAAAATCAAAATTTTGCATGCTCCATCCCTAATATTTAGTGCCACTTTCTGCATTTTTTGTCACATCTCATAGTCGCAGTGGACCACTTTCTGAAGTGTTTTTGAACGACGATAAGGGGGTAAATGTAAATTTTCTCAGAATCTTTTTCAGAAATATTAATACTTTGAACTGTAATAAATGTGTCTTGAGTATTTTCAATTGAAGTATACACTATGAATATTAAGTTGAGATACAATTTTTCTGACCTCAGGTCATAAAGAAAAAGTTGGCAAAACTATTTCAAACATCGAAAAATGTAGGAAAACTGTTTATCTACAAAGTGTACCGTTGTAAACTTTTCGCCCCAACTGTACTGCCCTCACTCCTTGGCCACAGTGAAACAGATTTTTTTGCCCACTCAGTATTCGGACTAAGCGGAGTAGTATTTTAAGCAGGCCAATAACTATTTCCCCCAGAGGGATTAGTATTTGGCCCTAGCAGATTACTATTTTGCTTGGGGTGATAACACGTACCATATCACTCTTGTGGTTTACTATTTGGCCCATATTATGAACGTACCATAATTCACCATTTAGACAGTCATCTAGCTGCCCCGGCAAAATAGTAAATCACCTAGGTGAAAAAGTATCTTCCAGGATGAACTACCAATCTGCCTGTGCACTACAGTATTGGGCAAAATGATTTCAATTCCTCTCCGAAGCATCCACAGCCATCCCATTAACACAAAACAAAAACACCTGGTTCATTAAAAGGAGGACACAGTTTGTGACTTGCCTGGAAAACTGTCTTGTCGCTGATTCTAAAATTCAGGGTAGATTCAGGAAACTCGCGAACGGAAAGGCCAAAAGCAAGCTGAAGCAGCCCAGTTGGATTCTGAACCAGTGCTATAGAAAGGATGTAATACAAATATTGATGTAAACGGAATGGAGTGAGTGGGGTGTTATACCGGTAGCATTACTGAAAAGGGGAACCTCTTTCAGTGAGAATATGTAGACGTAATCAGTATAAAAAGAGGCAGTTAAGGTGTTTTTTTTTATTGTACTGTGAATAATGAAAGTGCTTAATGTAGCTGTAACTTGTAAATTTAAATCATAGTTTTCATCGTGTGTTTTGTTTTTACAGAGGAGGAGGTAAGTGTTACTTCAAATAAATACACAGCGTGCATGTTGAACAATTGATATTGCTGAGAAAGATGATTTCACTTACCGATATTTATCATTTCACTTCACTAACACATTGACAACTTCACTACCAGTACTCAGTAACTTTACCATTCAATCACTTATTTTCAGGTGTTTGATAAGAGGCCAGAGAAATATGATTTGATTCTTCTTTCCACTTGTCTCAGAATGCATTTTTTTCTCTCTGAGACATTTCATCGTCAATTCTGACATACATCATGACTTCAAAATTTCAGTTTTTCTCCTTTTATCCCCCTTCTCAGCTAAAAGGTTGTTTATGTTATTACTGTACGTCTTGATACATTTATTTTATCAAATAGGAAGACTTTTAAAAAATAGTACCTTTACACTGTACCTGTAAGTCTCTTTTGTGGGTTGGTTTAAATCAGTGCTTCCTCTCCTTGGTGATCACGTCTTCATCAGTCCTAGGGGTCCCTTACCTTGACGTCCCGTGCAGTGTTTTTATATACATGTATTGCTGGATTTGGCACGGGTTGGGGTATTATGAACAGACTGAAGTGTTGGCAGCATTATTATGCAGAAAAGTACCCTTTCACTCAAGAATGAAGTTAGACGTGTTATCACGTACAATTACTCAGATGTGATCATATTAATCCCAAATTTACTTCAACCTTTACAGTTTATGTATTTTGAACTATGTTGAAGTCAGGGCTGTTTCATTTTGAAGGCTGGATTGTGTTCGTGCAAAGTTGAATGGAGAGCAAACAGCTTGTGCAAGATGATTCCTGACAAAAAAAATCCCAAGACTGTATATTTCTTTGAATTTTTTTGAAAAACTTGATCTCTGAAGTCAGGATGATTGAATGATAGTCAGCTTGAAGGTCAGGCTTTTCTTTTAAGAGAGACAAAATGTTGCTGTGTACTGTAGAGGACAGTTCATATACATGGACCAAGGAGGTAAATGATGTTCAGTAAAGTCCACAGCAAAATTGGCAGGAAATGGACTTAAAGTTGCATTACCTTTGACTTTGCTTCAGTTGGATCTAGTGTTAGCTGGAGTGAGATTGATTTTGGGGCTGAGTTTGCTCATACTCTACGTTTTGGAGAGAAAAAGAAGGGGGGATTGAAAAAAATAGCTCTTCATTTGCGGATTGCATTCTCACTGTCTGGTCTGGGCCCTGACGTGCTGCAGAAAGCTTTGTGTCTCATATACTGGCATCTCTCCTCTGTATAGTGATGGGAATGTGCCGTGCTGTCTACAACTTGATGGTGTTCCCCTCAGTTATCGAGTGCATGGGCAGACACTGGAAGCTGGAAAGCTGTGCTTTCTGCTCCATGATGTGTGGAATTGGTTACTTGCCAGGTGGAGTCCTCGGGGGTAAGTTTGTTGGACAATTACCAACAGATTTTGTCTGTTACTAATTCGAATTGGCTGTGAAAGACTGCCAAGATTAACTTTTTGCCAGTGCCGGTGGCCCAAGATATATTGATGGGAGCATGATTTGACCCTGCGACCTTGAGACTTGCGTACTGGCTCTCTACTCACTGTGCTGCTCTGCGCCGTGTTGTTGGTTTCTGAACTTATGGATGCCATTAAATCTTGAGACCACTAAGGAAGGGATCCAGAAGACCAGAACCTTTTGTTTTCTGAGGAAGCAAACTTTTTTTTGGAGGAGGGGTCAAAAAATTTGGAAATATCATGATCGTTTATGGCCTTTCTGAGAGATAGGGAGTGGTTAATTAATTTGCCTTTTTTGTTGAAAAAAAGTTATTTTTCTCCAGGGTGGGGGCATACATATGAAGCAAGATATCAGACAGAGAGAACTCCCCCTGCTTTGTGTAGATCATTGTTTCACTGGAATCTGAGGAATTCTTTTCAGACATCTGGGGGGGGGTGTGTGTTAGATAACAATAGTCTAGAGTGTGTATTGTGATTGGACTTGCTGGGGGGGTACCCCTTGGTCCCATTTCTTGCTGGATATTAGGGCATACATCCCATTGACCCAGTGGGTCCACCCTTACGGACTGCTGAGAAGAGATGAATATTCAGATTGTAAAGTAATGAATCCCACTCTGGCTGAAGAAGACCTCCGTTGCTCTTTGGGAGTTGTATCCCAAAGTGTTTTGTCATTTCCCATGAGCTTATCGTGGTCCTTGCCCTCTGCCACCCAGGGTAAACACCTGGACTGGGTATTTCAGTATCAACCTGCTTCCCTTGGCTGTTCCCTGGGAACACTTGTCGGGGGTATTTACCTCCCACCCCTAAAACTGAACACTTCTTCACTGTCTCATCCCCTATGGTCCCCGAGGAGAAAAGTCTACGTTCAACTGCTAGGGCTACCCTGCTTGAATGAAACGATAAATGTATGTACCTCGTAAATTGAAAATTAAATAAAAGAGGAATTGATACTTCTGATGTGTCTCTCCAACTGCTCAGTTGACGTTCCTTTCCCCGTAGTACTGGATGGGATGAAATAAATTATAACGTGACGTTGAACGCTAACATTACAGGTGCCTTGTTTGATGCCACCGGCTCCTATCTGTACTCGCTGCTGGTGTGCATCGCCCTCTACCTAATCACGTGCCTTTTGCTGGTCTGGGGTGCGTACCGCTTCCGTCGTTCCCAGCGTGCCCTGGGCCAGACAGTTGGCCCATCGGCAGCCATTGAGGAAAGCAAAGCAGAGGAAGAGCAGATTAAGGACGTGTATGTGGTGGATGAGATCATGACCACAGTGTAAAGATCCAAACCAGATGCCATATGCTGAGTTTGTAAGTTGGGTGTGTGGGGGGGGGAGTAGATAGTACACTGAAAAATTATCCTCTCAAAACATGTTGGACTGCATGAGTACAGTTTGGCACACTAAGCATGTCACAGTGTACTTGCTTTTCGTATATAGGGTCCAAAGAGTAAAAACTGCGTGCGTGATGCACATTTAGCTTTCTTATTTTCATATTCAGAATTTGGGTAATCGGGTATGCGTAACTTGTTCCTATAGCCAGTAGCAAACTTGTTCGGCAGAAATCAGCCAAGTTGGCAACAGAGAGCCACCGACGTGCAGTGTAAATCATTGGGTATTACCAGCCAGTGGCTCTGCAGAGCCTTGTGGATATATTGCAGTAATTGACAAGCCTTAAGTGGGCCAGCGACTTACAGTCTCCTCCCTCGCATGTGACCAAAGTCTCTCTGACGGTGACAAACTAAAGCTCGGTCCTCAGATCCAGTTGAGGAAGCCAGCAGTTTCCAAAGATGCTTTTGTAGTTCAGATGATTCATTTGTAAACTTAGCGCAATATTAAAATACATGTGTGTGCACGCGAAGTACAAATGAATAAGCCTATTGATTTATAGATGATGACCAAAGCAATTGTATAAAGCATCTCTTTGCATGAAATCTCAAATGGCAATTCCTATTCAAAGCTCGAGTAGAGTAGTTTTGAAGTGTGGTAACTAGTAGAATACATTACCGCCTACATGTACTGAGTAAGTGGTCGACTTAGTGATATTTTCAGTATTTTTTTACATTTTAATACATGCACGCATGCAAGTAGCACCCTATGGCACTTGAGACTTGACCGTTTATGGATAGTATATAATAATAAATTATGAAAGAGAACAATAAATTAAATGGAGCTTGATTTTAACCTGTGACCTTTTGAACAATGTAGTGGCACTTAACCAACTGAGCTACCCGACCCTATTTTGGTGGTTCTCCCCAGTATCTTAGTTCGTTTATATAATATGTAAATATTGGTGTTGGCATGTTTGGATATGGATTAGGCAATACTGTGTTGAGTGAAAGATGGTACTACATTTAGATGTATCTACTTGAGAATCCAACTTGTCGCCATTTCCTTATTTTTTCCCTCTCAACATGCACATTTGGTATGTTGAACAGTCAGAATAGTGCATTCGTCTGGAGATTAACCCTAACCCTCCTCAATCCTTCACCTGTTGGAGGACTGAGGAGTGTTAGGGTTAAGGATTGTCAGGGTGAAGTCGCTAGCAAGCATCTTTCAGCTTTTCTCTTGCCCACTGGATACACGTACATCTACACGTATATGTACATGTACACACCCAAATGAAATCTGTATCTCGTGTGTATTTCATTTAATAAGAAAAGATTGGTTAGTTAAGTCAGAGTTATCTATTTTTGGTTTCTGGTTATGATGTGGTAACTTCTAGCGTAAATAAATCTTGCCCTTCTATATTTTTTTTAGAGTTTCTATTGAGTTCTTCATGTTGAAATGTGACATGTTATTCTGAACAAGAGTAAGTTGTAAGAATTTGTACAACTCGCACAGTTCGTGTATTTGCCCTTTTTCTTCATCGTTGTAGGTGTGGACCCCACATTTCCTGGGTAATTGCACCAGACTAGTGGTGAGCGCACTGATGTTCACAGCCATTCTCCAAAAAATATTGCAAAGACTAGCTGAAATTTACATAGTTTATGGCTGAGAATGGGAAATGTGAAATGATCAGCGGTGAAGGAATGGGTCAGAGAGTGAATGTAAAGCCCCATCCCCAAGTTGTTTTTTCCTACCCCGGCCTTGTAGCCCTTTTCTCCCAAATCCCCAGTGGTGGTTCCAGAATACTTGCTTGGGTACTGTACAGTGTAGGTGATGGAAATTTGCACCTTTCATATGAATGTCTTGACATGGCAGCAGTGCGCCATGTGGATTTTATCTTTGATGGAGAGTAGTTATGTGTTGGGCAGTTTACTGTTCACCGCACGACATGTATCTGAAATTTTTGACCAACTTGCGTGTACCGGTACTCAAGTTATGCTGTAGTTGAACAAAACCTTAGTACAAGATAATTGCAATGAAATTGTGACAAAAATTATAAATGTCTTATAAAGAATTTTTAAGATATGAAATTTTTTTATCAAATCGAAGAAATGTTTATAAGAAAAAAGTCCAAACTCAGATTGTTAACCTGTAGCTTTAAATAAAGAAATAAAGCAAACTCGTGTTTGGCTGTACCAGATTTGTATTTTCTACAAAGAAAAATTTAAAAGAAGAGGTGATAACAACAAAGATAATTTATGTTTTGATGAGGGGGCTGAAATGAATGTTTTTTATTTCAAAAAGATAATCATCAGAAGTGAGTCTGACAGCAGGTGACAAATCGCCTCGATCCTGTAAATTCATTTTTATCAGTAGAAATGTACGTATAATTTCATTTAGGTATCACTTGAAAGCACAGAAAAGGTCATTGCATTTTACAGTATTGCTATTGCATTTTACCATAGACTAAGCAGTATGTTAATCGTTAAATGCCTTCAATTTTGAGTTGGGCTTTTAGATGTGGAGATGATTTGATGGTAGTTATATTATTTGGCATAAACGTGCATAACGCGATAGAGTTTTGTCTTTGAAAATAAAGGACCAGCCGTAGAAACACTACTGTGGCGCATGACTAGTTATTGTCTAAATGGTATCTTGATGTTTGTATGTTTTATGGCGTTTAGTATCTGTAACTGTGCACCGACATTTGCTTAAGAGTTTTATATTTAGCTTATTTATTCATCGTTTTCTTACAAGTGTGAGATTCGTTTTTTTTTTAATTTCTATTTAGATAGGAGCTGTTTGGGGGCTTTTGTCTTACGTGTTTCTGTCTCATGAAATGCATTTTAACTTACTAGTTCTCGACAACAATTCAATAACTCATTTAATTGCGTCAGGATTCCGTTTGATAAATTCGTGCATGCTACACAGTTCTAAGTATAGCAATTTGAATTGTTACTGTCCAAATAACGTTCGTATCAACAGTATCAGCGACCGGGGTTAGGAGCTAGTACTCCGCTCTTTCCGCGTGTTAAAAGTTGAACCCGTTCGATGTCCGAGTGAATTTAATGACAGCGCAGTGGCTTCTCGACTCAGTACCATTTCACCACAGAGCCTTCCATTTCAGGTTTCCCCCTTGAAGTTTTCGTACGCCAAGAGATTGTGCAACGACCATTCCATCACAACCCCGCAGCAGGCCACGGTGAATAATTCGTGCTTGCTTTCCCGTTGGTGGATTTGTCGTCAGACTCATTTAAACGTCAGCCACCTCTGTGGGTTGGTCTTCGTGATTTTATCGATGACGGCTTGCGACAGTCCCCTGGCTCGCATCTTTGGCAGGACGTGGAGACTGATGTGAGACAGACCATGGCCGCCGTACTTCATCTGTGAAGACACAAGTTAAAATGAGACGCTGATATAAAACAAAGTACTTCGAATATAGGTTTGCGGTATCTATACGGACATCTGTAGATGACGTTATTTTCAGAGCCATTTTCAGGTGCAGTGAATTGCACCTTTTGATGCTCTTATATTGTTCATGCTTTTCAAGTCAATTTAGACTATCTCTGAACTTCAGTTGTACGTCTTTGCAAGCCTCTACTGATGATAACTTTGTTGACTTCGCACATTTGTTTACGTGCGGGCTTTCCTGCAGGTGTTTGAAAGACTACGCCCCCACCGGCTCCCTAGGAATGATGCACTTGTGACGTCATACACTGGATAGCTTTTGCACATTGTGGCTGCTGCTTTATACATGTAATTTGTGACGGCCTTTCCTCTTATTTCTAATAGGATGATCAGAGAAACTAACGTTTTCATTCAATAAAAGTAACAGAAATATCCAAGCATCAAGAAGCGTCCCTGGCACCAAGTCACGCATCCATGAAAGCGTAAGTCTATTCAGGTTAAATGGAACTGTCGTGAAGAGTGTAAGTTTCTTCCATTACTGAGAAGAAAGTGCAATGTAAATGATTTATATTTTCTTGCAGAAAGGCAGTTCATTGAAGGGCAGATATCTGCCAGTCTCAAGTTCTTTGGAAAATTAATCAGCCTATCAATGTTTGCCAGTGACGATAATAGCGTGCTTAATCCTGTTTTCTCTGTCATGAGCTCCTTCACTTGAGAGATTTAATTCCTTGAAATTTTTCTTTTCTAACATCAATCAATGAACCTTCATAATAGTGTTGTTTTTAAGTTCTTCCAGCACAAAGTTAACTACTCATTTTGGAGCAAGCTCTTGTCACGGCTGCTCTTGAACTAGATTTGTCGAAACAGGACTCACCATCTGATGTCTTCCGTGGAAGTCATGGGATATGACCACCCTGTCTTCCATCCCTTCCTCCACCAGGCTTTTGATCATCTGGATCCTCTGCCCGTCGTTCATGGAATCGATCTCCGGGTGGTACTGGCAGTGTGCTACCTCAGTGCCGAAGAAATCGAACTCTAGCAGGGTGCCAAGCTCGGAAAACTCCAGCAGACCCTCTCTAGTGAAGAAGCATGCTGAATTAAGCAAAAGAGGCGGGTGAACGAATTTACTGGATCGCACAAATTTTTTGGTATCTAGTTTGGGTAAGTGTCAACGCCAGCGTCGCTTCCTGTTGGCTTCAAGATTAGGTGTGCATGGAGGACTCATTCTATGCGCCACACTCTTTAAAAATAATGACCCCGTATAGTCACCAAAGTGGACCTAATATCTCAAATTTTGAATACAAGCCAAGGGTACGGTTCGAAAGTGACTTATTGTGAACAGTCAGAAATGTCTGTCATAAAATTGAACGAGCTTATGTCCCTGAAGTTAGCTATCAATAATTTGGTGGGTGTCCTGGTCTCTCCACTGCAGATTTGCGCCGATAGTGATCCAGATACCATCATTATTTGATTGTAGGGATTGGTACCCCCAGGAGACTAGTTCAACTTAAACCTCTCAATCCCGATGGTCTTGTAGTCCGCCGTACGATAACGTAGTTTTTTGGCATGAGGCCCAGTGGAAATAAACGAGGGCCCTTTTAAGCTAGAACCTTATGCAACGCACAGCTGCCACCATTTTTCTCCACACCCTGTGCTCATCCTGTGCTCAAGGTCGCAGACACCAAAGAAATGGCCTGTTCAGATCAAAGACTGTTTCTTACTGTCGAGATGGTCCATGACAATCTTGTCGACCTGCGCCCCGGCCTCCTGCAATATTCGCACCGCCTCTTCGGGTGATTTAGGATCCAGGCCTGGGTGGATGGACACCGGGCAGCCAAGCGTCGACTGAACAGCAGCTGTGGCGCGAAGAATCTTCCGCTCATTAGCTACAGAGAGAAAACGAGTGGGCTTAGGGTTTAACCAGTTTTGAGTTTTCCCTATTTTATGCAAATGGACAATCTGGGGTAAATATAATATGAACCTGTCACTCCCGTACCCTTCATTTTTCTTCGATGCCCAGAACTTTAGGACGATTTTAGACAGAAAATGCTACATGGTTAACTGCACTGCATGTGCTAACTTTGGGCTTGTTGTGGAGCGCCCGCTCGTGACCTTGAGTTTTTAACTTAAAAATATGGGGGCGCTGTTTGAGATGACTACAGTCTCCACGTCTCAATCGCATGAAATTTTGGCATGTACATAACTGTCTCGAGTTTTGGCAGTGGCATGCTAGTGATAAAATTGTCCTGACCGAAAACAACATTGATCGTTTGGACACAGACACCATGAAAGACTGCTACTGACTGTAATCTGCCCTATTTCGTCGTTTTTTCCCTTCCGGTAGGAAAAATGCTTGACGTTTTCGTGGAACATTCATATACATGGAGTTGAACAACTGGTTCAACACTCAAGTGTGCATGCATTCTGAAGGGTGTTTACACTTGGGGCTTGGACAGAACGTTAATCACAGTGCCATATGTGGCAATAGCGATGACGTCATTTCTTCACAGAATTTTATGAAAGTCCAACTATAATCCCAGCTCCCTGTATGGGGAGTGGAGGCGAGCGACGCCCATCCCGGCCCTAAACTTTGCAATGATTAACGTGCGCCAGCGACACACCAACCTGTCATCGGCCACGTGCAGCCTATCTCGCCGATAAGTCCGCAACGACCCATGCTGCCATCGGCTCCCACCAAGATTTCGGAGGTCAGGAGCCTTTCAATCTCTTCCTGTGTCATCCCGTCTACTTCCGGTGGGTGTGTGCTTGAGTAATAGTAGCCTACGGGAAGACAATGTTTTTAATATAAATGTCTATGTATTTTCGACACTTTCATATTGATTTTATCTTTTTATCTCACCCTGTGGGGGCCGACTTGGCGTTTTGTGTTATTGATTCCAGAGTTGATTCAGATCATGGAGGAAGGAAGACACGCTCCGTGTTCAGAAGAAGTGCATATGCCATTCAGTATACGCTATGCACTTAAATGATAACAGTCGCAATGTTCGTGGAACTGCTGGCTTTACAGTTTTCACAAGGTATACTGCAAAAGACTTAAACCATGCGTCCCATCAGTGAGTTTAAGAAGTCAAGAGATGACTTGTTCGCCGGCGAGTTAAACGGGCTCAAGAAATAAGTGGCTTAGCTATGAGATGTTTCATTGGTTTGCATGCATATGAAGTTCTATTCAAAACAAAAGGCACCTCCTCGTTACGTGATTAGAGTTTGCAAATAAGACCAAGTAGGCTGTATTTCTGGTCACAGTAACGAACGTGTGAGATAATGTTTGAGGGGGAAAAATGACTCATGACACCATAGAAAGCTGGGCCCCCTTCAGAGGTCAGTGTTCACCCCCATGCCCTGCCCCCACGCCACTGTAAGAAATAAAAAAAAATAGGATTATGTGCATTGATCCTGGGCCCGGTGTGGCGGTCTCAGCTGTCTCCTGGTCTCAGCGGTCCCCCTTTACCAAATATGGTAAAAATACGTCATGCCATCTCTGCGCACAACAACGGGAAAGTTTAATTGGCATGCTGAGCATGCAGTCCACGCATGCTTCACGTTTTACGTGACGTATACTGTACATAGACTTACACCAAAGATAATAGCACCGCTTATAGTACCATGCGAGTTAGTCGGACGGACATCTCAGCACGGAAGTCCAACAAGATCGTGCTTGTGTCGTGCTGAAATGTCCGACTACATCAGGGGGGACCGCTGAGACCGCCACACCTGGGCAGGCGGAGAGATTGGCGCGTTAGACGTGTACCTGTTCCAGCAATGATATGGACACCTGAAGCGACCGAGAAATCGACCAACTTGCCCACGTTTCGGCCCAGACCGTAGATCGTCTGCTCGACCAAAGACTGGCAACCGTTCTCCTTCAGGTACAAGAGCTCATCGATGAGGGCGCTGTCTTCGTTCATGAGCAGACAGTTGTGCCGAAAGCTGTATCTATTTATTTTCAGTTGGAGCACACATTGTCATCATCTATATCAGAGGGCGCAAACTACGAAGTTCGCTGTACTACGAAGTTCGCCTTACTACAAATTTAAAGTTCGCTTTTAACTTCGCTTGAGTCGCAAATCAGATTAAATTCATACCTGTACTAATGCGTCTGATATCATTGACACTGCATTTCTTTGCTGAGACAATGGGCCGGTTCGGTATTCCAGTACGTGCCCCAAAATAAAAGCTCGGCCAAGGTCACCTGATAACAGCAAATACGTGCGCGCGAGATCTACCCAATCACTCAGCACTTGCTTTGTCCTCAAAATGTCCTCGCCTTTTTACAATACCGAACTGTCTCATTACATTCGTCACATTTTTATCAGTCGCTTGTTAATTTTTTGTGTGCATAAGTACACTGTAAAAAAGGCGCTTAGAGTTTAAACACATTCCTAAACGCATGTTGATAAACATGTTGAGGGTTAAACGTGTTTTGGTAAGTGGGTACTAGAAGTGTTTGAACTCTCAACGCTGTTTTTACAGCGTACAAAATATTCCATTAGATTTATGTCAAACTTACGGATTATGGCGAAACCAGTAAAGGTTCTCCATCGTGATGGGCCATGTAAATTTATTTCGTCCTTTATCACTGGTTGGCTCTTGGTAGTAACAGGTGAAATCTGCGTACAGGTGCTCGTGGGAAAGAGTAAACCCTAACTCCCCCGGATCAACTTGACCCAAAACTGGTGGAATGGAAAGAGAGGCGAACGATGTAAAAATGATATTCAGCCGCCATATTTCTTTTCTTTAGAGCATATCACTGCCTGGTGAGAAATAACCTCAGGATAGGCGCTTTCCCTCGAGCACAGTTCATCGCTAGAAGCCGTAGGTATAAGAACCCTGAGCCGCAAGCATGAGTCATTAGTCTCCAAGTCAAGTCACAACCTAAAGTACGTCGTTGGCCAATTCTTACCTGTGAGTGCCTTGCCTTTCAGTTGATCAACCATGCTGAACTTATCCCGTGGATAGCTGGTCGTTGACGAAGCCGCGTGCGTCTACGTGTTGAGGCAGTGATCAGGAGTATGCAGGCAATCGTGAATGATCATTAACCTTTGTATCGGGCCATCGAGCTATGATCAGGCACAAATAACTCTGACCATCCAGAATCCAGCAATGCGCCACACGTGGAGTAATTTTAGCTTCGTGCGTCATTTTGCTTCACGCCATCGAAGTTCGCCGGCTTCAAACGGGCAAGTGCAGCCCGTAGGGTCAACCGCTACACTGTGACGTTCCTAGTAGCGTGAATATTGGCAAGGTTCAAGCAGGAGATACCCCCAAAATAGCCGATTCAACTCATCAACAAAATACTATTGGAACAAAGGTCTCGGGCGCGAAAGCCAACACGAACAAGAAATTGTTACCTCAGATTAAAATCTATATTTCGTAGTGTAAATTTACAAAAGTTGAACACCCAAGCGAGCTTTGCTTGTAAATATTTTGTGACTTCAAATTCGCTTTTCATTCGTACGTGTATTAAGTGTGAAGTGGACTTTTCACAATCAGACTGCATTGCGGTAATTCCGTACGGCCAAATATATTAAATGCATTATTCTATGACGAAAGAGGCGCATTATAAACTTGTGTTATTGTAATCCCCCAGGAGGGGTGGAGGTTATCCGTCGTCATTGCGTAGCAGGGATAACGTAATACAGTGCAGGCAAAGTAAACCGAAGCATGATTTTCTGGTGGGAAGAGGATAACCATTGATTGCTTATAATTGCCACGAGTGATAAGTATGACAGTTACAACTTCGGTCAAGTTGATTTGCGAAAGGTTATTCCATCCTATTGGCCAGTTTCCCAAGTAATCATCACATAAGACTGGGTTCTTTTCAATTCACGAAGATTAATGAAATTTTGTATCGCTACGAAAGGAAAGTAGTATTTGAATCACCACAGCACGCCAAATCGGATTACATACCTTCCCACCTTTTTAATTCAGATTTCAAAGATTGAACATTAATATAAGTAATACAGTAAATAATGTAACAGGAGAACATTCAACTGAACGTATATATATGTACATGACCATGCCAAAGGCAAACCTTATAGTTGTCGGAATGCATGTACAATGTATATCAAAATTTGTTACACAATCTCGCTGCAGCGTTCTTCAGGAGACAAGTTGCATGTTGCTTTGTATTTCTGGTTGTTTCTGGCTTTCGGGTGACCTTTGGTCCTTAATTGCCACGTAACATGAAAACGCTGTCCAATTTTTGTTTGACTGATCTAAAGTTGTGCAGAACTTCAAAGAAAAACAAAGTTATGAAAAAGATAATGTTTACAGCGGCTTAGCAAACTTTCCACGGGGATTATATTGTTGGGTCAAATCCCCCCGTTTGAATATTTAAGGTTAAAATTAACTTGATACCACAAGAAGTTGTACGGATAGGCCTACTTGTTTCATGTGAACGATCCTTACAATTCAGCAATCATGACGCCGATTTTCAAAAACCACGAGTTGATGTTAAATCTGGTAATATAGGCAGGCTCCAGGGAGGGGAGGTACCTGCGACACAACCTCATTCGGGTAATGATCACTCTACTTGAACGCTAGCCACCTCTGTGGGTTGGTCGTTACAAACTTATCGATGACAGACTGCGACAGTCCTCTTACTCGCATCTTTGGCAGGACATGGAGATTGATATGTGACAGACCGTGCCCGCCGTACTTCATCTGCAGAGAGACAGAGCAGCAATGTAACAGGACAAGGTGGTTTCATCTTTCAACCCCCGTGTTTTACGTTTGCTGTAAACCAAACCCTACCAAACGTCTGTGCAAAACATCCGCGCAACTGGGACTCACCATCTGATGTTTGGCGTGGAAGTCATGGGATATGACCACCCTGTCCTCCATCCCTTCCTCCACCAGGCTTTTGATCATCTGGATCCTCTGCCCGTCGTTCATAAAATCGATCTCGGGGTAGAACTGGCAGTGCGCTACCTCCGTGCCGAAGAAATCGAACTCCAGAAGCGTGCCGAGCTCGGTAAATTCCAGTAGAGACTCTTTGGTGAAGAAGCACCCTTTGTCAAAAAGAAATCTTAGCTTTGAGCGTAGCTATTGGCACCATATGGGGTAGATTATTATGGGGTGCATTAAAGGTGACACCAATAAGTTATAAACTCGGCAATTTCAGCTGCCAGTTTTCTATTTGAGTGCTTCCCATCGACGCTGCATGCATTCAATTTATACGAACATGTTAGCCCGTGTGACCGCTGCAAAGGGATGTTGGTGCAGTATCTATCAAGACGAGACAAGACAGCATTAATAACTCTGGTTCGTGCCAAAGAGTCCTTACAATATAATCAACGTCAGCCGTTCGCCGAACACTCACTTTCGGTTGGCAACATTTTCATCATTATACTTGCAGCAACTTACTGTCAAGATGGTCCATGACAATCTTGTCGACCTGCGCCCCGGTCTCCTGGAGTACTCGCACTGCCTCCTCGGGTGATCTGGGATCCAGGCCTGGGTGGATGGACACCGGACAGCCTAGTTTCGACTGCACGCTGGCCGTGGCGCGAAGAATCTTCCGCTCGTTGTCTGGGGAGCAAAAGAACATCGCCGTTGAACGTCTTCTTAGTAATCTTCGAGATATTCGAGGATGGGGACTTGCTGGGAAGTTATATTTTGGCATTTGAAGCAGTAGGTGGGGGTGGGGTAGGCGCCAGCCTGCCGTAAATAGGACTATTACCTCTCAAGGGCCAGGAACACCCTATCTCGCCGATGACTCCACACCGACCTGTGCTACCGTCAGCCCCTTGCATTATGTCAGTGGTCATGACCTTTTCAACGTCTTCCTGTGACATCCTGTCCATTTCTGGCGGGTGTGTGCTTGACGTGTAGTAGCCTACAAAACGCAGCCGAAAAGAGCTCACGATAATTGCCCGACAGCAGTCATATTTGCCATGACACAAGAACTAAATGCACGCCTATAATTATGTCTTTAAAGGAGGTTTATCTAACAAGCTTAACTGGGATGCGGGATGATATCACGACAAATGAGACTTCAACGGAGCAAAACACTATTCTCACAAAGTGGAAGGGAGTGGCATATCTTCCCACCCCAAACCGAAATCCCAGTTGGGATTAAGGAGCTGCATTACCCCTGATCTGCTACGAGTACTAACTCGTGAGGATAAGACATGCATGTTCAGACTCTAAGACCTTAAATTTAATATCATTTTACTTTTTCCAAGATGACTTTTTTTTTTTGTTGGTTTTTTTTCACCTGTCCCAGCAATGACATTCACCCCGGTAGCGGTGGAGAACTCGACCAGTTTACCGACATTACGGTCGAGCCCAAGCGTTGTCAACTCTACCAGGGACTGGCAGCCATTCTTCTTCAGGTAAAGGAGCTCCTTGATAAGAGCCTCATCTTCGTTCTTGAGAAAAAGGTTTTCCTTCCAACTGTAACTGAACTTAGAGAAAAAGTTATCCCATCAGGATTCATGTGAAAGTACGCCCTTTGAAAAGTGAGCAAAACGCTTTTGAAAATATTTCAAAGATGATCATACGCGCTCAGAAAAATACCAAGTTCAAGAGTCGGTCAGGTGTAGGTTCTGAGGACCAAACCCCTTTACTTGATAGGGTTCAGAGAACCAACTCTAATGAAATAAGGTTTAAATGAAATAAGGTTCCAGGTTCTAAAAAGAACTGAATCCTTTGAGAACCTTGCCTTCGGCCATGAGTTTGAATATAAGTACTCGAAGGCTTTTATCATCATCACCACATACAGGGACATGTACTGAAAGTTTTCTTTCATTTACAGTCCCAGACCCAACAGATTCATATTAAAAGATCCAACAGTCCCTTGCAAGCAAGATCGATCAGGCTTGTCGTTCCAGAAACGTAAACATTCGCATTCAACAGAATAATTGTAATGACCGTGATATTTACGGATTACTGCGCAACCAGTACAGGTTCTCCATGGTGATTGGTAATCTGCATATTTCCCGCCCCTCCTCTGTGATTGGCTCGGAGTAGAAACAACCAAAGTCGGCATGCAAGTGCTCATGGCTGAGTATGCACCCCAAATCCGCCGGATCAATGGGTCCAAGAACTGCAAAACAAGAAAAAAATAACTGTTCCATTCCGATATAATTATTTAAGCCAAATGTACCAAGAGTTGGATTTTTATATTTGCAGTGCGTTGGAATGAAGTGCTCTAAAAAATTTGGGAACTCGTGCAGAACTGGACATGGTGCGATGCGTGCCCTCACCCGTTAATACTTTTCCTCTCAGATTTTCTACCATTCTGTGTTAATGTAGAGCGAGTCTGAGAATTGAAGTGCAGAACACGCGGTAGTCAGTTGAGTGGACCTGTGTGACCGCACGTGGTTTCACCCAGGTGAGCTGGCTAGTTCTTGACGTCCACTTATCCCTGTATTTAGGTGAAACTTACACGACGACCACCCTAGAAATGAACGACAGAAAATCCAAATTACAAGTTTGGCCATGGGTGTCGTGTCACCAACAGCCTGAGTGCTTCCAGGCGACCTCCATATTATGGCCGTGTATTTATCGCTAAGCCGTGGCGTGACGGTGTTGCGCTGTATCACGGGAAGGACCGGTTTTTTACAAGCGTGGTGACCCGTGACTACATGCATGGTGATGACTGGACTGAGTAGATGAGCTGTCGGCTCTATCATGGTTTAGAGATAACCTGCGTTAACTCTTGTGCTTAAGTGCAACTCGTCATCACACAACTCCTGTAGTCACAGGTAAACATGAAATAAGCAACACTATCTAATACAGGCATGCAGTGATCATTAGCCAGGACAAATTTAAACTTCGTGACTCAGTGGCTGATCGACTCAACGTGCGTTCTCGATGTCCTTGCATGAGTCGCAATAAAGCAGGCACCGTGCACCCAGCCTGAGTCTCGCACCGAGACGCTTGTCGTAATGAACCATCAACCGTCGCTGAAAGATGGGGCTAGCTATGTGAATACAACCGCAGAGCAAGGACAACTAGTGTGGGAGGGCTGCGTATAGCACCGTGATCAGAATATTGACAAGAATATAATATCATTTATTGACAAGAATGTAATATAAAATCAGTGCAATAGAATATGTGATTGCACATATTCCAGAGCACTGATTTTATATTACAGTAAAATTTCGATACCTCGAATCTCCGGGGAATGGACAAAAACATTAGTTATCTGAAATTCGAGTTAAAAGAAAGTTCCGATTTCTTTTGAAGTGAAGTCATTATTATGATGTGTATTTCTATGATTTTAGGGATGGTCTGCTTCTGATGAAAATTTCTAAAAATTTCATTGGCCACCCCCCCAAAAAAATTGAAAGGCAAATGAAACGGGACATGTCGATCGTCGTTTTTCTGTGCAGCCTGAACACCTGCAAGAGTTGTATTTTTAAAATAATGGTGAAGTATGGGGACTTATAATTTGCTGTCTATATGGGAATTTAATTGTAATGGTACACCCTTCATGGCAACACGGAGGCCGTTTGGAACACGGACGTGTATAATAAAATCTGGACTCGCAATGCCCTTAATCAGCTTATAGAGTCATTGAATCCACTCGCGGCCATTTTACCGAGCCGAATACAAAGCTTTCCCGGCAATGCCCGCCTTTGTTCTTCCTGACGTCAAAAGAAGGGAGCCAACCCACAGTAACTTCATAGCTAGCTCAGTGCGCCCTCTTTAATGAGGATTTTTACGTGAAATTTATATCATCATCTTTACCCATCAGCCAGTGGTTTTCTTTTCCCCGGGCCGGAGTGACACTGGAGTAAAGTGAAACCTCAATGGAACAATTGCCAGAGGTTTTGAGGGCCCACGTCAGCCTTGAGTCTACGGTATACATGTTGGTTTGCTTCAAGATCGACACCCATTAAAAATTCCAAATTCTTGTGTTCAGTGTCAACTTTCACAAGTAAAGACACCTCACTGGTAAATTCAGACTACTCCAGATTTTAAAGAGATTGTTTTAAAATTCCTGAAATCCAGAAATTCGCCTTGGTTGAAGAGGAAAACCTGTAACTATATAAAGCCTGATGAGCAACTTTTGAATATTTTTAGAGCAGCAAACCAGGGTTGCATTTGTATTAACATTATGGCCAAATCTGTTCCCTGGACCACTCAGAAATGTTTCAATAATTGGATTTTGAGAGATTTGGAGACTGTTTCATTTCCTTCGTCCCCTAAGCGTGTAAATATTCCCTATGTGTAGGCTAAGCTCAGAATATTCATAAAACATGTAACGTTACGTAACATAAAGAGATACCAGTGTCGTCGGTCGTTGCCCACCCCTGGCCTATAAGAAATGTGGTTCTGGATTGCGATTATAAGCTTGTTTCGTGCGTTTTGGACGCAAAGTCGTTGTTGTTTCCATGCAACATTTTCTAGAAAGGGCAGGGGGCTAGTTAAAACCTTGCACTTAAACGCGACGATTCTCAAAACATGCATAATCAGTTTTAGACGCAAAAGGAGCGCATAACCATGCCAATAATTTTGGGGATTTTGAAAAAAATAAAATGGAATTAATCTGATTTCTAAAAACATTTTTTATTTCTGAAAGAGACTTAAATGCGACTTGAATTAAATGCGAGCCAGGCACTCCGCGCATGACGTCACTATGCAAAACTCACGCTGCATCCAAACCCCGTTTACAGTCGGTCCGTGATATACACGGCGGACCGACTACGGACCGACTACCGTACAAACACACTGCAAACAACACGTGGGTGCGGTGGCACACGTGCACGAGTGTAGTACGATACTGAGCGCATTTTCGCGACGTCGTGTATCATCAAGAAATTAGTGAGGAATCGCTGACATACCTACGTGATGACATTGATGGAGTAAGTACAATGGATTTTGCTTTTATTATTTCACACTTTACATGAAATTCATAAGCCTGCCGCTTACATGTAGTAGTGCTGCAGTTGGGCTGGCCCAACTATTGTTGACCAGTGCTTGCGGGATGAAATGTCTCGACATTATCCAAGTCAATGTGTCTCACACTTGACACAATTCTTAAAAAATGTAGCACTTAGCCCTATGACCAATGACATGACATTTGTAAACAATATGACTTTGGCACGTGCTGGGCGCATCATACACACAGGACCTCTCTGCTGTAGTTGGGCCGGCCCAACTGTAACACTCTAGTTGGGACGGGCCCAACTATAGTTGGGACGGGTCCAACTACAGTTGGGACGGGCCCAACTATAGTTGGGACTGATGCTATAGTTGGGGCGTTACAAGACCATGGAGTTGGAGAAAGGAAAAAGACCATGTTGAGACTAATCCTACATGTAGGACTACAACGGTTTCCCCGTCGTATATTTGTTCAGGTTGTGTAGACAGAAGCATGAGAAATTGTGAATTAATAACAGAAATACAGACATAAAACGACTGGTTTATTTACATAGATGATCAACCCTTGCAAGCTATCTTGCCAACGCACATTACAAACAACACATTCGACTTGTATGCCATCGGCTCAACCATGTTTAAATGTATTCGTTGTTCTACGCTTAATGTCTTCATTGTACAGCGCATTTGAACATATCTATATGAAATTTGCGCTTTGTAAATGAATAAATTATTATTATTGGCAAACAGTTCCGTTACACTCCCTCCTCTGAGACAGATTCCAGCGGAGAAGTGCGGTGAATCAGTCTCACTATTCATAAGCTCTGTTGTGGAGTCCACAATCATTTTGCTATCATCTTGAAAGCTATCATACTAATATCAAGTAATAAAGATGATCAGAAAACAACTACTTTCAAAGGCTTCTTTGTCCGCTTTCGAGTCAACTCGTATTGCCATCCGTGAAGAAATAAATTTTTGCAGGTAGATTTGGCCCTGGTCCTTCCTTACGTCATGTACATTGGACCACCTCACAGCCGCCTGCAATCCCCAAAGAATTGGGCTGTCCAATGCTGGACTTTTGTACAAATTTCGTATGCATGACTGTCCTTCTCAACAATACAAATGTTGAAATTTTATCTCAATCTGTCATATGGTTTGACAGTCACTTGGAAGTTGGGAATGGCAGCGGAAAAGTATATATTCTTGGTTGACCTCTCTTAGAAAAAAGGTGCAGTGCAAGAACGGTATGTTGGATTTTCACAAAAATGCTGTCAGAATGACCAAAAAGAGTTATTTAAACAAAACTCCAGAAGGCTTCTGGAAAATATGCACCTTGATAAAATTGGAAAATATGTTAAAGGGAGGTATATTCCTTCTCCTCTTCTCCCTTCAGAGGTTCTTCAAGAAATTTCCACTCACACAGCCAGAGAGTTCACAATTTGTTAAGTTGAGAAAGCTTCAAAGCAGTCTCTGGGTACCTCCTGTTGTTTGTACACGTGTCAACTGGCTGAAGATGGACCTTTTCCGAATCAGCCGGCTTAGGCTGACAGAATTACACAAGTCTGTGGCAAATGACTGAAGCCACTCACATGTGGCTTTAATCATTTAGCCTCAGCCACATCTTTTGGACATTGCCTTAAAACCCACAACTTTGCTGGGGACATGCTCAAACGAAAGTACATATTACAATGTAAACAGACATAACTGCTCCCTTTTTGTCAGGTGTCAAAGGTGATAGCAGCGTGGTTGGTCCCCTGCCTATGAGCTCATCTTCTTGCATCACTGCCCTGGTAGAGCTAGGTGATAGCAGCGTGGTTGGTCCCTGCCTGTGGGCTCATCTTCTGGCATCACTGCCCCAGTAGAGTAAGCCATCTCTTGTTTTATGACAATAGTAGTCATAATTTTGGTTGTCGCAACAATTTGTGTAAAGGTACAGTCCACCATTTGTCTTTTGTGGATTATTTTCCTTCATATGAAGCAAAAGAATCACTGAAATCTAAAGAAGGGAACGCAAGAACGAACCTGATAAAGTTTCAGCTTAATAATGAATGCTCCATATTCTGAGAAAACTATTGTAGGACTTGGATTTCAGATCAAACGTTGCTGAGCCATGTTTTAAATTGTGCCTGAATTCAGCATCTGGGAAACAGTCTCATATTCAGTTGAATGCAGCTACACCTTGTCACACCCCTGAACTGATGAATTATAGAAACTGCTAGTGTCTGTGCATCATGTCAACGCTTGTATGTATTTCTAATAATATTGACTTTCCAAAAATTTGAGAAGGCACCTGCTTGAAATCATTGTTTCTTTATGATGACCGTTTGCCAGAAAGAACAGTTGCTCACAGAATTTAGTCCTCCATCTAAAACCAAGTGTGCTTTTCAACAACAAGTTGGATACCTTTGGATAACTGCAAATGATGGACTATACAGTACTTTTAACCCATTTCTTCTTGTGCAGGGTTCCCACTGTCAATGAAAATCCTGGGAAAAAGTTGGCCTGGAAATTCATGAAAAATTGGTCTGAGGAAAAGTGATGGAAATTAAGATTGTACAAGGGTGATATTGATGGTGGTTATGGATAGTGGCTATGGCAGTCTTCCCGTTTATTATACCAAACAAATTTTCTGTGCATAGTGACATGAAATGTCATGGAAATTGTCATATTTAAGTTCTGGAAAGTGCAGGAAAGGTCACTGAATTTGATTTTCAGATTTTGTGGGAACCTTGCTTGTAACAACCAGGGCCCAATTTCTCAGCGCTGCTTAGCAGGGGATTTCATGCTTGCAGAGGCTCCGCGTATTTCATGCATACCGTAAACAGCAAGTACAGCCAAATGCATCCAAACCTTGGAGGAAAGATTTGCTCAAACTTAGTGATGTAACAACAGAAATCTCTATCCGCACGCAGCCGTTAGCACAACCACCCCTACACCGCCATAAAATAGTGCTCAAGGTTAGCCCAATTTTTCTGCTGACTGTGTTAAGAAACCCCATGAAATTGGGTCCTGACCCCACCCAGCCTGTTACACCCTGCACTCCCCAGCACTGTACATGTATGGTTTTACAAATTTAACAGCGACCCACAATAAGAGTCTATGTGGTGATGGGTTGAAACGTGGATGTTTTGCTCATTGAGGAAAAAATTAATATTACAGTGTGACTGAAAATCCTTAGGTGACCATTTCTTGTTTTTTGTCATTTTTCCCTGTGTTTAGATTTGGGAAGGCCTCGTTGCCAGGTGAATGTACTTGTACTGCCATGGCTGCCTACATGAATGTTGAGGCTGGCTAGTGTCATGGTGCAAGTGGACTGACCGATGATATCTCCAAAGTGAAGAGGCAGGTTACTTCATGAGTAGCACAGGTAAGAGTCCTGTGTTTCATATCATTGCTGGCTTTCTGCAAGGATGAATCCAGGAAAGGGGGGAGGGGCCAATTGGGGTCATGACCAAAAAGGAGCAAAATTGCTTTCATTTGAAAACATGAAAGCATCTTTTTGATCTGTTTAATTTCCCTTCTTTTGAAAAGTGGAAATGTAGCCTAACCCTTCAAACAACTTTGAAAATAAGAAAAACTATCTGGCCCCGAGAATCAAGTTTGTCCCCGCTCCCCGAAAAAAAATTGGGTCCTGGATCCACCCTTGGGTGCTTGTGGCTAGCTTTTAAGGCAACCCTGACCGAGGGATGGTTGTGTGCATTATGCCAACCAAGCAAGACGATAGGGATGAGGTTAAACCCTTGTACCCAGGGCAAGCTAGTTGAATGCACTCACTATACTGGAATTGTTCACATTTTCCTGGCCTAAAGTTCCTTTTCCTTCATGGTTTGTTGCTGTTTCATGACAAATTACCATTGATCGATGGTCCACATTTCCTGAGACATGTTCAACGTGTTCAAGGAGCAATTTGGGTTTCACAGTTTTAATAGTAAAACTCATGAAATGATGCATCTAATCATATACATAAAATACCTTTAGACCAACAGCAGGGGCATAATTAAAGGAAAGTCTCCATTATTCATAACCATGAGAAAATGGCTGCCTTGTCCCCTGGGGTTTCATGATTTTCTGTGCAGCACTGCTCTACATTAAAGGAGATGGATTGGGGGGCAACTGTGGCAATTGTCCATCAAATATTATTTGGCCCTGTTGGTCTTTTTATTAAAGTTCTATCCTCCATAGTTCAATTTTTCTTCCTCATAATATTGCCTATTATTACAAGCCATTAGTAGAAGCCAAGTTGCACATTAGGTGAAATTCAGATAAATTCCTGACATCCCTGTTCTTTAGTGAGTATTTTGAAAAGCAAATTTTACATATGTTTAAAGTTTTATCTGATAGAGTACTGAGACCTGTGTTTCCAAAACATTTCAAAAAAAAAGTCTATAAGTTAAAATCACATACATTTTGGGGATTTGTTCAGGCTTTCTGACGGTGAGCAGTGAATGTGGACAAAAGATTTAAGTGTTCAGAGATCTCATTTAAAGAAGGATCTACCTTAATTTTGACAAATATTGAACCAAAACACAAAAAGGGACCACGTTGTAAACACTTAACAGTATTTCAGTCACCATCCAAAATTTCCGATTTGCATCCAACTCAACAGACTTGAGCACACTGTTGAAATATTTCTACCCACACTTTCGGGATCAATCGTTGATTTCTGTAGGAACTGTTGGTATTTAGATATTTTAGGTTTGTAGTCTTCCCTGATTGACGTTACAGTATTACTCGAAAACAGCGCCCTCGCTTGTTAGGAAAAGGGAAAGACAATTTGAAGTGTGTAAAAAAGTCACTTTTTGATTCACTAAACCCTTAATGGGTGTCTGGAAAAATATTTTTAATGATGAGTATAAACCACAAATGCTTTCAGAAGTAATGGGTCAGCAGTGTCAACGGAATCCTCTTGTCATAGTTCATTTTCTGACATGAAAATGGATGAAAAGCAATAAACACTAAAAGTTTTTTTATGAAATAAAAGGTGTAAAAACAAGGAGCGTACAAGGATCCTGTAATTTTTAAAGAAATGTCTCAATTTCTGCTGCAACTTAGTTCCTTTTGTGATTAATTTCTTCTCCAGACCTCATATGAAAGCTGTGGGTATGCCCCAGGAGAAGCAGACCATGATGCTGATGAGAAGAGCGCCCTCGCCTCCTTCAACCTGGAGAGAAGGAAGATGGAGGACAAGATCCTATGGGACTGCACAGAGATGATTCATGAGAATGTCAGCAAGAGGAAGTAACTCAGATAGATGCCAGATGCCAGCCCTCGCCTACATCACTGAGGAGGAACAGTTTCCAAGATTGCATGAGGGAACCTCATCTGAATCTTAGGCATTGATTCACAAAAAGGCAAGGAAAGGACTCAATCTTGACAGAGATGCAGTTCCTTGCTTTCATCTTGGTGATGAAGCAAGTCTATCTGCATTTGTACACTACTCAAAGGATCAAAGGATCATACGTAGTGATTAATAATTTAAACAAATGATATTCACATTGCAAAAAATGAGCGTCATTTAATTTGGCTATTTTCTGGCATCAAAACAAGAAACTTTCACTACAGAGTACTGAAGTCTCACAACACTGAAAAAAAAAACTTTGGTCAGCACCATGTCCAGGTCGTTTATGGCCCTGAAAATGATATATAAAAAATTGAGTTTTCACCAAGTAATGTGAGGGCGCTATTTATGAGTTACAATGATATTGCAGTTATGTGAGGGCACTGTTTATGAGTTAAATCGATATCTTGGAAATGTGAGGGCGATATTTATGAGTTACAATGATATTGCAGTTATGTGAGGGCACTGTTATGAGTATATTCTGGTAATGTGAGGGCACTATTTGTGATTCTGAATCACAGAAATGGAGCACTTTGAAGATATAAGTATTTCAGCATGAAAGAATTACATGTAACTGTTGTGACTCTTTTATTCAGTAAAAAAATGCAATGTCTGACATGTATGTTTGCAAATCTTCCCCAAAATCACTTATTTTTTATAATTATCTGTAAAAATGATGATTGATACAAAATAAAATCAAATTTGTGATTGTCAGGACATTAAAAAAAAGCTTCACAGTTTTCAAAACCTAAACACAAAATGGTAAAAGGTCCAATATTTCAGTCACTTTTTCTCAAAATGTCCTAAAGTAAAACACATACGTGTACATCATTGTACAACGATAGGGTTGTATGGTGCTGGGCAGTCTCATTCATGTCATTGTAACCCCCCCCCAGCTCTCTGAGACACTCCCAGTCTCTCACCCCCTTGCCTCAGAGTCATTCCATGAGCAAAGGGAGTGAAACGTGACCATTTTGAAGTTGTGCTACATGTATACCTAAGCAATACACATCACCCAATGCTTTTTTACCTTTCCAGCTAATTGGGCTCTGAAACATGACTAAGCCGTTGCATTGTCTCGCATTCTATGGTGCTCAGCCAAGCATGAACATGAGCTTCAGTGTACAATAAGTAAAGTCAATGAGGTACTCGCCTTGCTAAAATTTTCAAAGACAAATGTCTGATCCTTTAATTTTTTTGAGTAGTGTATATTAGTATACAGTACAATGCTGCTATAATGAACAGGGCGGGGTCCATACCCAATGCTTGGTGTTGCATACCTTCCCAACTATTGCGATTTCATTGGTACTGTTCCAATTGTCGCATTTTCATAGGCCTAAAAATCAAAATGTTCCGATTTCCATTAAAAAAAGGGGGGGGGGTAAGTCCTGGCAAAAGAGGACGCTATTTGCCAAAACAGAGGGTGCAATTTGCAGAAAAAAGAGGGCGCTATTTGCCAAAACAGAGGGTGCCATTTGCAGAAAAAAAGAGGGTGCGATTTCCCATGCTGAAATGTCAGTTGTTTTACATACCTGTATGTTCTTGTTCGTGTAAAACAGATTTCCTTGTGCGGCTGCTTGTTTTGCTATGGTCTCATAACATGGCTGTTCCAATTTCGGAGTTTATTGACATCTTAACTTTTGAGTCACTGTCATCAATCCTAATTTATTTTTCTTTACTAAAGCAAATTTGCGATATTCAGTAAAAGTGCGCAGAAAATTTGGGAGCCAAGAGGCATGTTCTGTATGCCAAATTGTTCAGTATAGTGACGTTGTACTGTACTTGCATCCAAATTATTCATGACTTCACAGGGTACTCTGTAAATTGAATGGACAATTGGTCAGTTTGCTTTTGAAGAAAGACAATTGTTCACCTTTAATTTGTTTCTTTACATCATGACGCATTGACTCATATTAATGCACATTTAAAAACGTCCATGTTTACATTTATCAAGTGCTCTACATGTACTTCAAAATTTGCAAATAATTACCATTTGGAAAGACTCTAGACACTTTAATACTACTTTTGAGGACTAAAAGCTTGTAACTATTGCATGATTTTAAAAATTGAATGGCATTCCCATTCGGGCAGCCAAAATACCAGCTCTGTTCAGTCAACCCAGTGGCTGTTCTGAACCTCATTTTTAAAAGGTTCACCACCGAAGGGAGATATTGACAAATTGGAAGATCCACCAACAAAGGGCTGGATAGCTCAGTTGGTAGAGCACTGGTATAGTGTTCCAGAGGTTGCAGGTTCAAATCCCACTCCAGTCAATTTCTTTGTTCATTTTTACAAGTTTTTCCTGGGACAAAATTCTATGTGCCTTTTGTATTTTTCAAGTTGTACATCCACATAGCCAGAGCATTAGAAAACAGTCTTTCATTTAAAATTATCACATTGCAAGTCATCGCAAATTGTTAGCTCAGTGCTGAAAGGTCATTACTGCCAAAGTGTAATTTTTGAAAACACTCTAAGAGCCTTACTCTGTGCACGAAAAAAATATTTGATTTAAATAGTTTTTTATTTTTTTGTCATAAAACTGGGTTTTTTTGGCCAACATGTTTAAATTTTAACCAATTCTGTTTCCCAAATTAATATCTAAAACAATACTTTTCACGAAACACCTGTTAGTGCATTTAAGGACCTTTTAGCACTGACATGAAATTTTTTTCATTTGAAAATATTACCTTGCAAAAATACTTTTTGTGTATGTAAAACAATCACCATTTATCGCTATTCGTGTAACCAGTTAATTTCTATTTGCAAGTGAAATAAATGTTCATTTATTTAAACTAGCAGAAGAACTTGTTTGTACATGTATATCTATTTGTAAAACTGTAGTACTTTGCCACTTCACCCTTCTCCTAATCTGGACCACTTTACACTGCCAGAGTTCTATTTGTAAACCTGTAGTACTTTGCCACTTCACCCTTCTCTTAATCTGGACCATTTTACACTGCCAGAGTTTACATCTGTTACCATCTTTAGGTTTTACATTACAGCCTCATCCTACATTAAAGCCCTGCTAGTCTTGAACATCTTCCAAGCTCCTTGTATAAAGTTCCCTCTTGGAGCCTTTTAGTCTCAATCTTATAAGGGCTACAATAAACCCAATAGCAGAATGGAACATTAAGAAACTACATCCTTCAGCCCCATGGGATCCTCAGAGCCGTAATACTGACAGTCCCAAGCCCTCAGTCATCCCCTCAACCCTACCTATCAGCTCTCAGACTTCCAGCCCCAAGGACTTCCACCCTTGCCCATC